TTTATAAACGTAATGTACGATCTCGGAACTAACTTTAATTCAACGACGTTTCGAAAGTACTTTAAAAGTATTAAAAGCACTTCGAAGCAGATGCTTATAAAAGCTTATCATAGCGTCGAGCTAATAAAACGCTATTACGTCTTTATGCGACGCGCTTTTAAGATCGTTACAAAAGAGTTTCTAAAGGCTTTAAAAGAAGACCGGCTTCAAATAGCTATTAAAGCTATTAACGATATAACTAGACTTAATAGCTTAGTTCTTATACTCTTCGTTTTTAAGACTTTATTAAAGCTGACGGAATAAGATCGACTTGCCGCGTTTACTTAAAAGCGTGCTACTGCTATTAACAAAGCTATAAAAAAAGTACGAAAATGCTACGCAACGAAGTAAGTTAGAAACGCGCTTAAGAAAAAGAATAGATTAATTACGGAGCATACTTTAGACTTCTTTATTAATTTACGAGTATTCGTATAGCGAGAAAATCAAAAGTAAAAGGGCTCTTTTCAACTGCTTAGCAAGCAAAAGCACACGTGCATAATAGCATATTCGAAGCTTACGGAATTCAAGTTAACTTTAATAAAACCTTACTACTTTAAAGTTGAAAAGCTGCTAAAAGAGTTGCAAGTACTTAAAGTAAAAGTAGAAAAAGAAATAAAAAAAGATCAAAGCGAAAGCGAAAAAGAGCTAGAAATACGAAATTCGCTTAAACCTTAATATTCGCTTAATCTACTAAAATCGCTTAATCTAAGAAGCTCGCCAAGATCAGCAAACAGCTTTTCTAACCTTTAACTTATCAATTCTTAAAAACTAATAATATTAATAGTTTAAATACTTTATTAAAAGTACGATCTTAGCATCTCGACCGTGCTCGACGAAAAAGAGAACGATTCTTACGTTTTATTTATTAAAGACTTCGAAGTATGTGTTACCGATAAAAAACGCCGAGATTATAAGCTTTTAGCTAAGCTACGAGCCGAAAGAATTATTAAAAGCTTTAAAGCATTGTTTTAAAAGTTTAAAGTAAAAGAATTAGCAAGATTAATAGCTTAAAGCATCTTTTAAGTAATCTCGAGCACCGATTTACGTGTTAAAAGCGTTAAGATCTTCGGATTTAAGTTTATTAATAAGATTAAGAGCAAAAGAATACTTACGCTATACAAAAAGTCTCGTATAATAGTCTAAGCTTTTTAAGATAAAAGCAAGACGAAAGTACTTATCGAGTCACTTACGGTGCAACGAGCGAGCTAAAGACTCTGTTATGCTTTAGCTCTTTTTTTAATAAAAGACTACGAGTATTAAGTTTATAATAGAGATATCACTTAAGCTTATACTTAGTTAAGCACGAAGCTTATTCGAATAATCGTCGTACGATTATTTAAAAAGATTACTTATCGATTCCTTTTCGGTATTTTGTTTTTTATAATTAGCCTTTTATATAAGATCTTCGAAGTAAAAACGCACTAATATAAGCGTTTTTTAAAGCATTTCACAAACAACTTCGAAATAAAACAATCGAGCTTTGATTCTTGCTTCTTTGTATTAATTAATAAAGATCAGTTAAGAATAGCTGCTTTACAAACGGATGATATTCTTATAATTATTAATCTAGCTATAAAAGCAAAAGAGAAAAAAAAGCTGGTCAAATTTAAGTTGAAAAGCAAAGAAATAAAGATCTTTATACACGCCGAACCGATGATTTTCAATAGATGTAAGCTATCTTTAAATAAAAACGAGTTTAAACTATCAATTAAGCAAAAAAAGCAAAGTGAAAGGCTTGTAGTAATTAAGCTCGATTCAATTATACGAGTTAAAAAGTACTTAAAGCAACGTGCTCGAAAGGCGTATTTAACTACTATTTGCTATTTAAAAGCATCTTGCGCTTTATCGATAGCTGCTTAACATTAAGAACCGAAAGACGAAGACTACAAAGCTTTTAATAAAGTGATTTAATAGCTAATCGATTACTTAACTCGAAGGATTTATTACGTGCTTTTAAATTTAAGAACGACGAAGCTCTTTGTATTCGTAAACGGAGCGTTTGCTAACAACGCTAATCTTAACTCTTAAATCGATTTCGTAGTTATCTTTAGCAATAAAGCTTACGTAAGTGAAAACGAGTTCACTTTAACGAGTAACATTCTTTATTAAGTATTACAAAAGTGCAAAAAGGTAATAAAAGCGGTATTAGCCTTTAAGCTATACGCTATGTCTTTAAGTATCGATATAGCTATTGCTATATCGACCACTTTTGCTTAAATCACAGCTTAATTAAGAATCTTTAATTTCTTCGTAATTGTGTGCACTAACTTTTATTCGCTTTACGAATGCATAATAAAGCTAAGAACTATTAAAGAGAAGCGCTTTATAATCGATATTATAGCTATTCGAGAGTTATACGAAAAGCGAGAGCTCTTTAAAGTACGCTAGATCGGAAGCAAATCTAACCTTGCTAACGCTATGACTAAAATCGAAGCTAACACTTCTTTGCAAAAGCTAGTTTTAATTAATACTTTAAAAGTGCAAGTAAATAAATGAGTAGAAAAGCCGTTGTAAAAGAAAAAGAAAAGAGATTGTGTTTCTTTTATTTGTTTAATTACTTTTGCTTGATTACTTTCTTTCTTTTTTCGATCGATATAATAGTTAGCAAAGCACTGCTTGCTAAAAAAAGAGTTGCTAGTATCGGTATCTTTATATCGACTTTAGCTAATAGTAGTAATAGTAGTAGTAGTTAAAGAACTCACTCGTAAACTATAGTTTACGAGCCACTTAGCATGCTTCGCTTAGCATATTAGCAGTCAAGGGACCTTTAACTTGATTAGTAAAACTATTAGCTAGCTAGTACACGTGATTCCTTCTAATTATATAAAAGGAATCAGCTCTTTTAAGCCTTAAGGAGCAAACAGAATTCAGATACCTTATCAACCGAGTGTTTTGCAATTGCAAGTACTTTGACGACCTTACGAAGTTACGAATATATTCCTAATCGCTTGGAAGCAATCTAACACTCTTCGGTAAAAAGAAGTTTTAAAAAAGCTTTCTTTTTTATAATAAATTGTTAAATAAATAATTCTCTACGTTAACTTACTTTATATTTATTTTATTATTTATTCTATAATTTATTTAAATATATAAAGATTTTTATAAATCGAGTAATTAGCTCGTTGGTGACACTACAAAGAACTTGGTCCTTTGCCCTGGTAAAAAGAAGGCTAGTATTTTTCGAAAGTCGCAAACAAGCCTTTATAGCTACGGCTATTACGGAGGCTAAATACGCGGCTATATGCTATACCGCAAAGCAAAGCTAATAAGTCGCCTAAATCCTTTGCAATATAAGATTCGGTAGCTATATAGCTAAAAATTATTAAATTATAAGAATAAAAGGCGATAACTAAAGCGCTATCGCATTCGTTAAAAACCTTTATCTTACGAAACGATTAAAGCATATCGATATCGCTTATTAATATTATTATATTCGCGATTTAATAGACTAAAAAAAGTCTTTCGTATTTTATATACTTATAGCAAAGATAGCTGCCGATAGCTTTTTTAAATTATTACTGAAAGTCTTATTTTAAAGATTCGTTAAAATAATAAGTATAACTAATCGATCGAAGCTAATATTAAACTCTTAAATACGCGAAGAACTTCATTTAGCTTTTTCGTATATCGAAAGAAAAGATTTATTTTCTCGATAAGACAAAAAAGCAATAAGAGCTGTTAGCAGCATTAAAGTAAAAGTGTTAAAATAAGAAATTCTTATTTTATAAGGTCTGTGCTATTGCTGCTAAGCAACTCTAAAAGAGATAAATAATAACTGCTAATTAAAAGAATGAATAGCTAGCTAGCGTAAAAGAAGAACTGTATATAGTTCTCTTTCTTAGAAGGGATTCTCTTTCTTTTAAATAACCGAAATTAATACAATTGGAATTACCTTCTGCTTCCTCCATCACAAAGAAGAATTATCTTTTTACAGTTAAAGTACTTGCAATTGCAAAACACTCGGTTATAAAAGTATTTCAATTCTAGTTGCTCCTTAAGATTCAAGGGAGCTGATTCCTTTTATATAATTAAAAGGAATCACGTGAACTAGCTAATTAACAGGTTTACTTATCAAGTTAAGGGTCCTTTGACTGCTGATATGCTAAGCGAGGTATGCCAAGGGGCCCGTGAACCATGGTTCACGAGTGAGCTCCCCCAACTACTATTACTAGCTAGCTAAGGTCGATATGGATATACCGACAGTGATAAAGTATTTAATTGTTATGTTCTTCTGTTGCTTAAGGGAGCTGACTCCTTTTATACAATTAGAAGGAGTCACGTGTACTAGCTAAATAATAGGTTTACAAGCAAGTTGGGGTCCCTTGACCTGTGACAAGCTAAGCGAAGCATGCTTAATGACCCGTGAACCTTGGTTCACGAATGAACTCCCCCCCCCCCAACTACAACTAACTAGCTAAGGTCGATATAAATATACCGACAATCATGGAAGAAACAGATCTAATCCAATTCTTTTGACTCTATGGTCGTATATGACGGCTATTGTAGAAGTTATCAGAATATCATCTACAAATTAGAAAGCCGCGCATTTGAAGATATTGAATTTGAAGAGAGATGGTGTGGCTATATTCAGCACACCCCTCATCAGCCATAGCCCACTCAAGAATTTTAAAGATACTCGACTCCAACCTCTTCAAAGACGTCACATCCTTTACTTGATTCGATCCGACTTCAAAAGAAAATCAATGTTCGATTGGGAAATCTGATCAATCAAGATCTGTACGTGCCCATCTCGGTTCTCGCTCCGGAAATGTCACCGCTTGACACCTTCCCTTGTGAACGCAAGCATCTCCAGATATGGAAGGCGCTGGCTGGTATTGTCGCTTAGTAAGCCTTAATGGTCCGTCTCAAGCTTTGGTACTTGGACATGATTTTACTTCCTCCAACCAACGCGCATCCCTATTCCTGCATCTCTACTCTTTCAGCAATCTCTGGAGGAACCAATGATAGCATACATTCCCCAACCCACGTCCGACGCATCCGCAGAATCCTTCCGCTTTCTCGACCTCCCAGGAGAGATTCGTAACAACATTTATGGTCGCATCCTTACCGTCAAGCCTCCGCGACGAGGCTCCGAGACCCTACCGCTGAAGAGCCAATTGAGTACCCAGATCCTGCGAACGTGCCATTTCATTAGAGCCGAGGCGGGATATGTGTTGCGAAGGACGAATCTGTTCGTCAAGTTCAGGAGCAACCTCCCAAGTATCCTGTACTCGGTCTTCAGAATTAGGGGGAACATACAACTCTGGAGACTGAAGCCGAAACATGCTGAAGATTTCCGGGCCTCGGTGGTGTCCTACGAAATTACTATACCACAGTCACCACACGACAGGTCGATGGTCTTCGTGCTTCTACATCGCGATCTGGAGCCGTTCTGTTCGCAACTTGCCGAAGCGAACCAGATACTCCTACTGCATAAAGTCACGGTCCGCGACTCTTATTGTTCGCCAGACCAGGAGTCGCTTCTCTCTGAAAGGCTGCAGGAGCAGCTCATAGCGCCCTTTCGAGCCACATTTCGAAAATCGATCTTCGAATTCGAGGGTGTTACGCAAAGGTTGAAGTTGGCTGCGGAACAAGACATCACACGGCCATTGCCAGTTGACCCAGAGAGTGTGTTCCGACACGTACGGTACCTGAGCGCTGAAGGAGCATCTTTTTTCGTCCGCACAGGCTCCCCATACTGTCGGCACATGTTGAAAAGGGGAAATGAATACTGGAACGAGGCTCTGTGGACGATACAGCGAGTTATGAAAGATGAAGCTTACCAAAGCTTCAGAGAGGCCGGCGGCGCAGAGTTGCTAGATCGACTGACAGAACTATCCTTCAGGCTCAACCTGAACCAGGCCGAGGAATACCGGCAATGTATGCGGCGCAGCGAGGGCGATCAAGAGGCCCTTGACGGATTTGAGTCGAGGGTGTCTCATGCCGTAGGGGACGCGATGGCCCTCCTACGTAATTACCCCGACAGGACCTGGCAGCCAAGTACTGAGCAACTTGGAACACTCGCGTATTCGAGAGCAGTCGCGTGTCGACTTAGAGGAGATCCCTCGATGCTCAGTCAAGCAGAAGCTTCCATCCGAGAGGCACTAACGCTACTGCCCAATGACGGGTCGGTCTGGTTTGAAAGAGGTCAGATTGCGCTTTGGCGGAGTTTCGCAGAAGCTTGACTGGCACAGTGGCTCGCTGGACTTATTGAAAGGGGTACATTCCGAAATTTGTCTGCGATGAGAGTGTCTCGCCTATAGGATGCACAGGCCCTGTTTAGCTTTCGAGTCTATTATAACGCCAGTGTGTTGTGGTAGCTCAATTTTTATCAAATCCCCCTTTTTCGTGTGTTGATGAACTGGCGACGCAGGCTCCTAAAATCTTTCGGACCTGCCTACAACGCTGAGAGCTGTAAAGAGCTGTCGCTTACTTTGTTGATCTGCCGGCGTGCTTGCCGAAACAGATCTTACCCTACGTTGCCGAGTCCCTGATCTGATCTGACCATGCGCAACTCCCCCCTCCTCCCTGCGTACCTAGCGTTTCTTATTCGATTCGCGTTATCGAATAATCTTGCGTACAAACTGCCTGCATGTGGCGCTTCATTCCTCCATCCATCCATCCTCCATCCATCTTCACGGCGTGGAAGATTGGAAACCTGGCCAGTCATGGACTTCCTCCCCCACCCCCCTGTTTTCAAGAAAAAAACAGGTACCTAACCATCTATGAGCGGAATACCGACCAATCATAAACAAACCGAATGGTGTTGTCCGTCTAATTATGAAGAAGAAGAAGAAGAAGAAGAAGAAGAAGCAGCAGCAGCAGCAGCAGCATCTTCGCTACCTATCCTCGATCAATCGGCGTCTATTTCCACACTCGTTTCATCAAGTCTCTCAACTACATACATACATACATACATACATACATACACACACACACATACAATAGCCCATGGTAAAAGACCACCACCAACCAGCACCTAGCTACCAACAAACCCCTTCCCCCCCCCAAAAAAAACCTCGACGCGTACCAGAGTGAGAAATGAGATTGCCTAACCATCTTGTGTCTGTCTGTCTGTCTGTCTTGCAAGGACAAGGACAAGGGAAGCGTCGCCGGCCCCCGTGGCTCTCACATCCATCCCCCTTTTCCTTCACGGAGTACGTTGCTCCGTTTCAAATCGCCTCTAGGCTCTGATCGAAGCAGACGCAGACGCAGACGCGTACGCATACGCATACGCCCGAGCACACGCCCACGTTCACGTCCACGTCCACGTTCACGTCCACGTCCACCAAGGCCTCACAGCTAGCTCTCACGGCTACTAACAGCTACAGCGATACTAAGAATGAAAACTATAGCAATAACAACTCAAAACGACAGGACCCCAGCTACGGTATTCGACGCCTTCCGAAATGAGCGGCTTCTCTCATCTACGTCAAAGGCAAGCACGGCATGGCATATTCCCGTCAAAAAGAACATCCACCCAGAAATGGAGTTGGATATCAAAAGAAAAAACAGATCTTCGAATCTTATTGTGTGAAGGAAGAAAAAAAATCCATTATTTTGGTATTACTCCAGCCGAAGATTCCGTGGCTTGAACCTAGCCCCCTCCCTCCCGAACCCAGCCACATTCATACCTATATATACACGCATAATTCCACTGCCCAACCCTCTGAAAACCAACCCCCAGAAACTCCTTGTCTCCATGCCAGAAGGAGAACAAAAGGGCCAAAAAAGAAGGGAGGGGGGGGGGGAGAGAATAAATCCCATATGCAAACTGTGATTTCGTGCTAGTCAATTCCATCCCCGCGGGCCGCTTCACGACATCCTCCCATCCGGCATACTGACCCACACCAGCCCGCTCAACACAGCCGCGATCACGACCGCCGTCAGAATGCCCGCGCCGGCTTTACTGCCCGTGGTGACGGGGCCCATCGCAAGGGGGTCCGACGAGGACGAATCTCCGATGCCGGCAGTGGGATTCCCCTGACTCGTTCCGCCCGTTCCGTTCGTCAGCGGCTCCTTACTCTCCTGGATCAGATTGCTCGTGATGGCCTCCATGGCCGCCATCTGCTGGCCCACGCCGCTGGTGCCGTCCCACTCCGCTTTCTTCGACCAGCTGAGCCCGCACATCCGCCCATTGGGGCGCTCGGCCGGCGAGCCAGAGCACTGCTGCGCGGCTGCTGCCGCAGAGGTCCTGAGTACGGCGATCACGCGGTCGTACGTGAAGGGGGCGAATTTGGTGGTGGCGGCCATCCAGCGAGTGAGGTAGGCTTTGTAGGAGAACATGTCGATAGTGCAGTGCACGAGCGCCGCTTCGCAGGCAACCTCGTAGGCGATGCCACCAGGAAAGAAGATTTTGATGGTCTGGTCGAGGAGCCCGTTCACGCGGGTTTCCCAGATGGCGCTGCCGTTGGTCTGGGTGGGGGGTGTGAGTATGCTATGGATTACATCAGGTGGTGGAAAGTGGTGAGCAAAACTTACATGTTTCCACATTGCCGCCGCGCCGAGCAGGAATACACCTGCGTTGTAGGAGAACTGCGGCATTCGGATCTGCGAGTCAACGCAGGTGTTGCCGGTGCCGATGGGTAACCCGTCAAAAACATTATAGCTGGCATCGATCAGGCCGACACTTTCCATCCAGTCCCAGATTTTGGCCGCCTCGTCGGCGTAGGTCGTATTCCCGGTGTAGACACCGAGTCGAGCAGCGATGTTGAAGAAGCAGCCATTGGCGATGGAGTTCTTGTAGTCGTAGCCGTTCAGGAACGAGTATGCTTGCCAGCGTAGACCACCGCCGCACACATTGTCTATCTTCACCAACTGCGTATTGAAGACTGCTTGAGCAAGTGCTAGCCACTGCGGTTGGGAAGGAGGCGGGTCTGGAAAGCCCAGCTCGGCCGCCGTCATTGCTGACATGCCCCAGAAACCTGTTGTTTGTCGTTAGAAGTGGTCACGGGACGCGTGGATGCATCGGTCCAAACAAAGGCTGTCCGGCTGTCCGTCTGGCCGTCTACTCTGCGCATGCTTGCTTGCTTGCTTGCTTGCTTGCTTACCTTGATCGTCGTTCCCCATCCCCGTGGTCTGGTTTTGAGGCAAGTAGTCATCGCGTTCTCCTACTTGGAACAGCATTCCCTGCGATGTTATGGCATTGTAGGTGGTGTCACCGGTGTAATACCAGTAATCCATCAAACTCCCCCACATGGCACCGGCCTCCCACCAGAAATAACCGGCATCTAACACGCTGGGGTTTGGGGGTGGACCGGGCAGCTGGCCGGGGATTTGTCCGGTGAGGTTGCCCTTGTAGTAGGTCAACATGTCAAAGGCAATGGTACTTGCTGCCGACTTGATGGAGTCTGGATGTGGATCACGAGTTTCGTTAGCAGGCCTTTCCCCAGAAGGGAGCGCGTACGTCACGCGACATGGATGTAGATCAAACCACTCACCGGTTGAGGTCAAATCGAGTTCGAGGCCGGCGACTCGATTGCTCCCGGCGCAGAGCAAGAGCGCCAGCGACAGCGAGGAGGATACGGTGCCACGCATGGTGATACGTATGGTGGTGATCAGCAGTGCATTATTCGAATCGCGAGTCCGTCTTGACTGTGGGAGGGGATAAACGAGTGGACCCAGACAGTGGGTATGGTTGTGGTTGAGGTTGTGGGTATGGTTGTGGGTATGGTTGTGATTGTCGATTTGGTGTCGTGGTGAGTGGGAGGAGGAGATGGAGAAGGAGTTGTTGGGCTGGAGTTGGAGTTGGAGTTGGAGTTGGAGTTGGAGTTGGATGGAGATGCAGTTGGAGTTGAAGTTGAAGTTGAAGTTGAAGTTGAGGTTGAAGTTGAAGTTGAGGTTGAGGTTGAAGTTGAAGTTGAGGCTGAGGCTGATGAGTGAAGGAGTGGTGTCCCCCTTCGTCGTCCCGTGCTTGCGATGGCACAAAGAGGTGGGGCAGATGACGACGGAGGGGCGCTGGTTTAAGAGGGGATCCTCCTTGTCGGGCAGGTATGCAAGGCATGCCAGGCTGTTTCGGAGCCAAGATTGCACCAAGACGATACCAAGACGATACCAAGACGACACCAAGAGCTTTAAGCGGCGGGACAAGTGATATCCACACCTCTTGACGGAGCTTAAACGCACGCCGGGTCTTCGGAGTGGTCGATGGGAGTGGGAGCTAAAAATTAGATTCTTCATCAACTGGAATTCCTTCGGCTTCGGATCGGATCGTGTCGCGTCGTGCGTTCGTGCGTCGTGCATCGTGCGTCGTGCGTCGTGCATCGTCACGGATCTCCCCCTTGACTCTGGAGCCACAGCTGAGGTCACGTGTGGGACTAACATGAAATTGTTCCAGTTTGGCGAATAGAATCTATATCTACATCCATATCTCTATCGATCTACATCTCTCTCTCTCTCTCTCTCTCTCTCTCTCTCTCTCTCTATTCTCCCCTCTTGCTTTTCTTTTTTCTTCTCTTCTTCTTCTTCTTCTTCTCCTCCTCTTCCCCTCTTCCCCTCGTCCCCTCGTCCCTCTTCCCCAGCTCCGATGCCCCGTTCCCCCCGCCCGTCCCCGTTGCCGCCTCCTCCCGTTATGATCAGCCCCACATCGCGAATCGACCTACCTAACCTACTTCCAGTCTAGCGTAGGGCGGTGCAAGCAGCCTGTCTCGCCATGAGTATCAACTCTGATCCTCTCGTCCTCCCTTTCTCTTCCATACCAATTTACATCAAGAACGTGCATCGAACACGTACACTAACTCCAATACCGACGGCGACGACGACAACAACAAAAACAACAACTACTACTACTACTTCCACCCTGGATCTTTCCTCCTTCCGCTCGCTCTCGCTCTCCCTCTCCCCTCGAAACCCAAACAAGGAACCTGATTCTGAAAGACCAAGCCACGCCCAGCCCAGCCGCAAAACAAGCTACGCCACGCCCGGAACCCTGACCCTACGCACCGCATTCACCACTCCCCATCTCCACTCCATCTCTTCTTTTCCATCTCCTCCCCTCGACACGACATCACCAACCCACCAAACCCCCCCAACCCACCAACCCACCAACCCACCAACCCATCAACCCACCAATCCACCAACCTACCGATCTAATTCCCTTCGATACCATCCAGACCCCACAACCTGTGAGATGCGCGGGCTATAAGCACCGAGGCCATCTGACTACAGTCGTTACTCCCCTTCTCCCCCCCCCCCCCCCCCCCAACTCATTCCTGGAATCGCGAGAGACGTCGGAAAGGCCGATTGACGGGTAGAGCTGGATAATCCCCATACGCATCCCCGGTCTGGTGTCTGGTGTGTGGTCCTTTGTTCTTTTACGTTACGGAGTAGTGCGATCGGTGATATACCACCCGGCTCCACCCATCTCCGCCCAGCTCCGCCCCATCTCCACCCATCTCCACTCACCTCCGGATCTCTTCTTCTCATCACCCGGAACCCTTTCACCCTTCAACCCTTCCACCCTTCACGATGCGCCTCATCCGATCTTGGGGAACGGCTCTGTCCGTTCTACTCCCCCTGGCGAATCTCGTTTCGGGTATCAAAGTCTTCCGGTCGACCTCGTTGGAAGTATGCCAGGATGATTCGGCCGTCACGGCCAGTCTCTTTAACGTCGTCTTTACGCCAGACAACCAGACCTTATCGGTCAAGGTCAAGGCCGAGTCGACAGTGAGCGGAAATGTGACCTTCAAAATCAACGCCGCTGCATACGGCTACACCTTCCTCAGGCAGACTTTGGATCCCTGTACATACGAAGGCCTGACTACACTGTGTCCGCTGGAACAGGTAGAAATCGGATTCGACGAAGTCTTCTCCAACATATCGACAAGTCTAATTGGCGATATTCCCGGCGTGGCATATACGATTCCAGATCTCGATGCTGTCATCACCGTGAACATGTATCAGACCAGCGATTTGAAGAAAAGTTTGGCGTGCCTGAAGATCCGCCTTTCGAATGGAAAGACGGTAGACCAGCTCGGGGTCAAATGGGCCACGGCAGTTATTGCTATCATAGGACTCTTGGCTTCTGCGATTGTTTCCGGTCTGGGACATACGAATACTGCCGCCCATGTCTCTCTCTATGCAGCAGCGCTCTTTAGCTATTTTCAGAATATTGGAATCATCGGGCTGACCGCCGTGCACCTTCCGCCTATCGTTCTGGCCTGGACCCAGGATTTCGTTTGGTCGTTGGGAGTGATCCGGGTCACTTTTCTACAGCGATTCGCGACATGGTACGTGCGGGCCACGGGAGGAAAACCGACAAGCATTTTGACAACGCTCGGCACCAAGTCCGTTCAAGTGGCGAAGCGAGGCTTGGTCGACGATAACAGCCTCGTCGAGGCAGCACACTCGCTCTACAAACGAACACAAAATGTCGATTCTGCGACAGGCGGCGCGTATATCGTGTCTGGGATCCAGCGCGTGGCGTTTCTCGCACCCATGGAACCCACCAACCTGTTCCTCACCTGCGTAACTTTTTACTGCATCTTCGTCCTCTTCACGCTTCTCGTCATCTGGCTCTTCCGCTTCTTCTGCGACCTGGCCATCAAGGCTAAGTGGATGGAGTCGCAAAACAATCGCTTCCAAGACTTCCACGACAACTGGCGCATCATGATGAAAGGCACCATCTTCCGCCTGATCTTGATTGGCTACCCACCTCTGATGATTTTCTCACTTTGGGAATTTACTGTAGTCGATTCGCCAGCGGAAGTGGTGCTAGCCATCCTCTTCTTCTTCGGCATGAGCGGCGCCCTGGGTCTCGCCGCCTTCCACGTTATCACGCTCGCTAGACGGTCGACTCATCAACACAACACACCCGCCTACCTCCTCTACACCAGCGCCATAACCCTTAAAAAATGGGGCTTCCTGTTCATCCAGTTCCGCGCCTCAGCCTACTGGTATATTGTACCAATCCTATCTTACATCCTCATCAAAGCGTTCTTTATCGGGCTGGCCCAAGGATCAGGCCTCACGCAAGCCATCGCGCTCATCATCATTGAAGCCGCAGCCCTGATCGGTGTCTCCGTTATCAAACCGTACATGGACAAGACTTCCAACACGATGGGGATCGCCTTGTGCGCAGTGCAATTTCTGAACGCAATCTTCCTCCTTATCTTCACAGATGTATTTGATGGGCCTGGTCTCCTGATCGGAGTTGTTGGGGTAGTGTTCTTCTTCATCAACATCATATTCTCTCTGGTCCTGCTGATCATTGTTCTCGTCGCCTCTACGCTCTCGATTATCCGCTCCAATCCTGAGACTCGCTATCAGCCGATGTCTGACAACCGCGGTTCGTTCATCAAGTCTCAAACAACGCTCACAACGGAGCTCGACATGCTTGCTGCGACGGCCAGGGGAGCGGGGGATTTGGACTATAACAAGGAAGCGAAGGGTATGAGTCCGGTGTCGCGAATCGATACGGGGCATGGCTCGCACATCAGCGATCCAAAACTGAGCCCCTTTAGAGACGAGCACGCCCTACGAAACGAGGAGGTGGGCTGGAGGCCGCCGACGGCGCCATCGCGGACTGTGACACCAAGCCTCAGCACGAACACGCGGCGGCTGAGCTCAGGGAGTGACGCTAGATCTTTTCGGCGGTAGGTACATGCGGAGGAGCTGGGGAATCGGGGAAATGGATACATAGTACCGGGAGGCTGGGGAAAAAAGGACGGGGAGTATTTGGCATGCATGGATGTTATTATCGTTCTTTTCTCGGCTTTCCCGGAGGACCTTACATGTATGTGAATAGGGAAAATGGCGTTTTTTTGGCCGAATTAGGTGACTGGCTATCAGAGCCTGGCTGGATGGGCTGGCTTGCATTATGTGCGGTGCGCTGCAGCGCAGCGCAGACGCACAGACAGACTATGTAGTGCTGTAACTTGTAATGACAATATTCTCTCACTTGTCCTCATTCTTCTTCTTCTTCTTCTTCTTCTTCTAAAAGGAAAAAAAAAAAAAAAGACTGATTCGCTCGTATTGGTTGGCAAGCAGGAAGGAAGTACGGGAGGGATTGGAAGGGTCGTCGTTGTGTTTACTTTTGTTTATAGGTGAGCCTCCTGAAGATTTGAGATCCGATATCCGGCAATCGGGACGCGGCGATGTGTTTTTTTCGGGGGCGGGGAGAGTACATCCCGGATAGAAACGGTAAACAGATCTGTATGGTTGTATCATGCGATGATTACGGATTAAGGATTATGATTGGCGAACATGTAAAGAATTTGGTCACTTTGTTGCATTTAGTCAATCGCACTCACTGTCACGGTCACAGTCAGGATGCATAGATAGATAGGTAGGTAGATATGAGAAGGAGGAGGAGGAGGATTTAGGCGGGTTTTGGTAGTTTCGTGAACTCTCCTTCTTTCTGTTGCTGGCTGTCCTAGATCCAGCTGAGAGAGAGTGGGGGGTGAGGGGGAAGAGGGAGAGAGAAAGATCCGGTCATGATAAATCGCATTGGTGTGGGTGTGAACCTGAGTATTCTCTGCTCAGGTGATCCTGGTGCTGTGTACAAACGATGATCTAAATGCAAGGTCCATAATGTTCGATGGGCTTTCTGAAGGAGTGGGGTATCAACGCTAAAGAACATTTATCTGGAAAGGGAGTTCCCTCCTGCGATGAGAGGGCGGTGCCTGTAAAGTCCATCGTCCGGGAAGGTTTGTGGTATCATGCCTTATTGTTAGACAACCAACCTCAGCGCCAGGGGTTTTCTCCAGCGAAAATTTAAAAGGACTTCGAGTAAACGAGGCGCGCTCCTCTTTAGTCGACCGCAACAGGTCCCGCCTCGCGCCGTTTTACGAAGCATGGCCAGCTATGCGGCGCGACTGTAAAGTAATTCTCATAGGTCCACTCCTTCTTCGGATCGACCATCTCAATATCGAAGTCCCGCAGCATCATGGCAGCCGTCTTGTACAGCTCGAGTTTGGCAAGGTTTTGACCGGGACACTGGTTGTATCCTGCACCGAAGGCTACCATATTGCTGTTCATGGCTGATGCTTGGGCGGGGGAGAGGTTCAGCCAGCGGCGGGGGTTGAAGATCGCGGCATCGAGGCCGAAGAGAGATGGGAGGCGGTGCAGGGCCCAGAGGTTAACGGAGAGGATGGTGCCGGCTGGGAAGAAGCGGTTGCAGACCGTGACTCCTTCCGCGGGGGCAACTCTCGTCAGACCAAAGCCGACGGGTGTATGAAATCGAAGAGTTTCCTTGATGCAGGCTTGGAAGATGGGTAGGTTTTGCGTCTCCTCGAAAGTCGGGACGTCGCTTAGGCTAGCCTGATCTAGCTCTTTCCGGAGAAGGGTCAGCATCTCCTGGTCGTGGATCATGTGATACACGAAGGCTTGTAGCACGGAAGAGACGGTATCGGAGCCAGCACCAAGGTTTCCTACCGCGTTGGTTAGGATCTCAATCTCGTCCATGCGTTCAGGGTGTTTCGCGAGCTGGATCTTCCATTGCTCGAGCATGTCTCTCCGAACCTCGGTGTTCTGGGAGCGAGACTTGATGGCGGCTACGCAGGTATCGAACACGTGCATTGCTGGAGTCAAATTTAGGAATTCGATCATAGGGTTTGCGAGGAGCAAGTCATGGGCCCACGGGAAGTGACCGAGAATCGAAATGTAGATACGTAGAAAGACGTTGTTGGCGACTGTGTTTCCCAGGTCTTTTCCGGTCTTCAAGAAGCCGAAGCTTTGAGAGAAGGTGGCTTCGCCCAAGACGTCAAAAGCAAGATAATTAAACCAATGTTCAAAATAAACTGGCTGCTTAAGAGATCCGAGACATCCGAGTTGGCTACGTAGGAGCTGCAGAGCATTATCGATATACGGCTCCGTCTTGATCACGTTGGTGAGACTGTACCCCGCGGCCAGGTTTTTGGCTTTCCGGGTGTGCTCTTTGAAGCCTAACTCCGCCATTTGATTGACGTATCGCTTGTCTGGCATACTGAAGATGGCATAGGTTGGACCCTGCGAGCATTGGCCATGGTTAGATTGGGCAATATAAAAGTGAATCAGGAAAAGAAAAGTGTGGTGGGACTACCTTGTCCATGTGTGACATGAGGACCATGCGAATAGCGGCAGCATCGCATATTGACACCTCGTTGTAGCCAATGCGAACGAACTTGCCTGGTTTCCCGGGTCAGTAGAGTTGTGTACGAAGCATGGATGAAGAGCGATGCGGACCGTTTCTTCGATGCTCCTCGATAACGGCCACTTCGATGTGTCCTTTGAGAATGTGAAGGATTTGCCAGAGCGAGGCCGAGAATGAGGCCGCAAAGGGACCGGGGATGTCGCTCAAAGGAGAGAAATATCTCCGGCGCACGAATACTGCGGTCAGCAGGATCGCTCCGACGGCGAGTATAGACTGGAGGATGCCCATCACGGGGTCGGCGGCTGGCTGCTGCGGCTGCTGCGGCTGCTGCAAGAAGTTGTCTCTGCTCTGCTCTGAGGAAGCAAAATCTCATTAGGCGGAGCAAGCGTATCGAGTGGAAGACATGGGATAGATGGGCAGCTGCATCCAGTTTCCAGTCTCTCGGGATTGGGTTGAGTTGAGTTGAGTTGAGTGACAGTGTGCAACGTGCGAGATGCAAGGCACGAGGCGAGGCTGTGCATGATTCACGGTTAGGTAACGTGACGTGCCGGTATGACAAAATGTAGGAAGTCGGCTACGGCTTCTCACTACAAACTATAGGTATATTTCGACTTTATGCGCATTCCTCACCTAAGCTTCCAGTAACAAAATCTCTCTCTCTCTCTCTATTAACTGAAGCACCAAAAACTAGCGGACAGAAAAAGGACAGGCTTTCTGACACCCTTGCTTCTGAAATCGGTATACTTAACCACGTTACTGGACGGAGGTGGATGTACAGAGATATCTCTTTCTTATATTATTAACCATCCTGGTATTAAGACCCCTTGTTTATGTTATCGTGTACTAGATTTCGGATCATTAATGTTCCCTCCTGTGTTGAACGCCATGGACCTTCACTCAGACATCGCAAAAGCATGCTTTCCCTGACACCACGATTATTGCCAGCGCCTGTAGAAATACTATTGAACGTGATATACTGCCATAAGCTAGTTCTTCCCGCCAATTCACACTCAATTGTTTTTCGAAATATGGTTATAAATGAATCATGAAAAGTGCCAGTAAATATCAATCGGGAGGGCGATTGTTGTTGCTGAACATTCTATCGTAGCGGCTTTGTCGCGGTGATGAACCACCTACCAAATGTTAACCAGATGCTCTCACCCTGTCGAGGTCCGACTTACGCTCTGGTGAAAGCATGGATCCTTGTATCCAGAAGATCTTTCCGCACGCCACCAAGCATAGCATGGACACTCGTCTCGTCCCAGCCAGCTCTCGTAAACAGCATCAGAGTATAGTTCTCTACGCCGCCCTCCAGCATATTACTCAAAAAATAGCGACCAATGTTCTTCAGCCTGCGATCCCTCGGCCACGGTCCTATGGGCACAATCTCATCATGCATCGCTATGTCCTCAAAGCCAGCTTCCCTCAGCCAGCGCGGCATCTTCGGTATAGGATCAAAATCTATGCCCATCAATTCCGTAGCTATCTTGTGAAACTCCTTCGTCCACACCCCACAACTACCATTAGGGTCGAACGTGCCGTCCAAACACTCCCATTGGAGCCCGAACTCCACGAACTCTAGCTTACCTCCTGGCTTAAGCGTTTTATAGGCCTCAGTTAGCAGCTCCGGCCAGCTCTTGATCGATCCCGCCATGGTGCGTATGTACACAAAATCCACTGACCGCTCCGCTTGCAGCCATGGCTTATTGACGTCGTCGATTTCGAAACTGACATTCGGCGGTACCCAAACAGGTTGTATCGGGGACTGGTCAACACCAACAATTGTGGCCGACGGCATCGCATCGCCCAGCTCGATCGCCCAGATGCCCGTTCCTGTGCCTACATCAATCACCTTTTGCGTCGTCGGCGGCAGCACGGTGCGCGTGAGTTCGCCATTGAGAATCAGCTTGAATATATGATGCTGGAGGTCAAGTCGATCCTGCTCGGTCTCGTCGTTGGGTAGCAGCGATTGGCCGTCACGATGATACCTGTGGCCGTGCTCGTAGTGATACTCGAAAGTCGAATCGGTGAGCGATTCCAGACTGCTTCGCACGCTCTGGTGATTATCAATGCTCTATACGGCGAGCCTGAGGGAGGTGGGCAGGTGAGGAGAGAGTACACACCTGGCCCTCGTAGCCCGAGTCGCTGAAAGACTAGATTTTAGGTTTTCACAGGTAAGCTTTTGGGTTGCTCGCAAACCTCGGCCCAGCCCGCGGATTAGATGGAGACATTAAGTAGAGAGAGCACATACATCGGCCTCGATAGCGTCGTCTTCGCCCTGGTGGTCGAGCGACGAAGTATTGGCCAAGTTATTCATGGTGGCCTTCCTATCGTATGGGATGGATGTTGTGTGGTATTTTGTGGAATTGTGTCGTGGAGATGGGTTGTGGTGTGGTGGAGAACCCCCTGCCGGCCGCTGTGACGCTGTCCTGTACTTCTTACCTGTAAACCACCCTGGTGGCTCTGAATAGTGGGGTTGCGAGGTTACACATCTCCCTATGTGTGGCTAGCGATGAGGAGGACGAGAGTGGCTAATGTCCAGAGTTATCGGAGACTGAAGAGGAGTTGATCATTCTGAAATGCATAAAGCTGGTTCTCGACCTCGCTTACGCTCTAAGGAGACGTGGATCGAAAGTAAACAAACGAAAACGAGACGATGAGCCTTTATCAAAGGACATTTCTTAAAGGATTCCACGTACTAAATTCTATATTTTGCTCTACCGGTATATAAGTCGCTATCACCTATCGAGTCATGAAGAGCATTCGGGTTAGGATTGTGGGGTTTTGCTTATTAATGCTAGCGCTTGGTGGAGCTGGTATATTTGCAAGGTGTTTTCATTATAGATCAAAGACATGTCATATCCCGTGACTCAGGGGTAGGTACGATTCGCTTATGATAAGAGCTCCCCCCGGGGCGATAAGCCGGCTCACCCCATCTTGACTTCACAATCCATCCTGACTTATCCTTTTCCTTTCTTACTTCCCAACAGAAGATCTTCTTAAACCACACACAGGAAAATGGAATACACAAAGCTCCCACACGGCATAATCCCCCGCCTCATCATCCACGGCGGTGCGGGCAATATCACACCAGCCAATCTTCCTCCGTCGAGATACGCGCTCTACCACTCCTCCCTCCTCAAAATCCTCGCCCAAGCGCACCACTTTCTCACCTCGCCCTCCTCTTTCCCCCTCGCATCCTCGCCGTCAGCATCATCTCTCGACGCCGCGACCCTTGCTGTAACGCTGCTCGAAGAGAACCCGCTGTTCAATTCGGGCCACGGAGCCGTATTCACGCGAGATGGAATCAACGAGCTAGAAGCATCAATCATGGTGTCGAAAGGCAAGAAGAAGCGAGGCGTAGGCGTCATGGGATTGACTCGCGTCAAGTCACCCATCAAGCTTGCCCGCGAGATGCTATTGCGGGGAGAGCAGGACTTGGAGGGAGGGTCCGGACCATATCACTCCGGCGCGCAGGGACACTCCCAGCTGCATAAGTTCAGCGCGGAGAAGTTGGCCGAGGAATGGGGACTGGAGATGGTGGAGCCGAGCTACTTCTTTACGCAGCAGCGGTGGGATGAACACATCAAGGGATTGCAGGGTGAGAAGAACAGTGGGGTTGCGACGTGGCATGCCGAGGACTTCTTCCCGCAAGGAACGTGTGGTGCAGTGGCTTTGGATGCCGAGGGCGTGATATGCGCTGCGACAAGCACAGGCGGCCTCACCAATAAGCTCACCGGCCGAATTGGCGACACACCAACGCTCGGAGCTGGATTCTGGGCAGAAGAGTGGGAGGAGAACATCGCTCCACAGACAGAAACGCTGCTATCAAGACCGGGCCCAGCGCTAGTTCTAAGCGAGACGTTGAAAGGGCTGATGGCAGATTGCTTCCCCAATCCAGCTCTGTACACGCCCATATTAAAAGACGAGATCGACTGGGCTTCTCTGAGCAAAGATGACAAAGTCTTCCGCTCCGCCGGCCTCTCAGGAACCGGCAACGGCGACTCCTTCCTCCGCACAAACGCTGTCCGCACCATCTCTGCCATCGCACGATACAAGCCCGTCCCCCTCCAAAAAGCGCTGAAGGAAGTCGCGGGCCCAGGCGGCTTTCTGGAGGAGAGTGCTGGCGACAGATTCGGCAGGACGGGCGAGGGCGAAGGCGGCGTCATCGGCATCGAGCTCACGGTCGTGGTAGACGCTGCAAGGGAGAAGAAGGGGGCGGTGTCGCACGTCGTCGATGATTTCAACTGCGGTGGCATGTTTCGCGCTATGGTCGACAAACGCGGTAAAGCAGTCATGCGCGTGTGGAGGCCCGGCCAGTATGCTGATCTGGAGAAGTACGAGGGCGAGGGCAAGCCTTATGATCTTAGTTTGTGGTTGGATGAGGAGGTTTCCACCTAGACTCGGGTAGCGAGACACTGATGTGCAATCATTTGGAAGACGTACGTACGTTTTTTATTGATTCCACTACTCTTTCTCTTTTCCGTGGTTTGCTTGAATCTACAGAGAACATGGCAGCTTCAACAGGCCAGCCGAGAATTCCGTCCCAAGTCCCTTACCCCTTGGCTTCCAAGCCTCGTTGTATAAGGATTATACAGCTTTTTTGATGCTCACCTATCCTAAACCTGATTGGGTCCAATGAAATATCAACTGTTTCGACTTGCACGTTATCATCGATAATTATCACGTTCAGGATTTCGAAAGCGGCCACGATCAACTTTCGAGGTTTCATGTACAGACCAAGGCTTGTTGAATATCACCTGAGGACGGGATGCAGTAGCTGAATTCGAGTTTCGTACCGTATGAGCTCCATTTTAAAGCAACAATCATCGGAGCACGACGCATTCCATGCCCATCCATAATATAGAAAAGCTAAATTATCTCAACAACTAGGAGAAACGATCCATGGTTCATCATCCATCCGCTCGCTACCTGGCCGCTATTCAACGATCGCCATACTCGCAAATCCCCTCCTCCAACGCCTTGATTTGCAAAGCGATCATCCTCGACCAGTACCGGCATAGGGCAAGATTCCCACCGAAGAACCAGAACCCTGGATGGCCACTCTTTCTCCATATAGTCCTCAGCTCACCCTCTTCATCGAAGCCCCAGACATCATTGACCTGCTCAGCCAGCTCGTCTCCAAAGATAGCTCGAGCCTTAGTTCGCATATTCTTGTATCCGGTGGCGAAGATGACTTCGTCGGCAGGCAGTTCAGAGCCATCTGCGAACTTGAGGCCATGGGATCGGACTTCGTCTATTTCTTGGCCTTGTTTGATCTTGATCTTGCCGTCGATGATGAGCTGAGAAGCGCCCACGTCGATGTAGTACCCGCCTCCACGCTGGAAATACCTGGAGTTCTCGGAGTCAGCTTGCCTTGTTTAAAAGATTTGTGAGTATACGCGCATTTCGCGGTAGTCAACAACCCTTGAGACAGCCTACAAGTGGTGGAATACTCTGAGAGCTTGACTTACTTCATGAACAGACCGGCATCATCAGGACCTTGGTCGAGCTTGAAGCCGGCTTTCTCGAGACCTGTGAGGAGCTTCTCGTCGTGCTTATTTTGCGTGGCTGTAATATCGACATGAATACTCTTGAGAACAGAGGCAGGAATGGACCAGAATATGACATCTGCGTCCTCGACAGGGGGAGCTGTTTCTTCGTAGAGTCCTGCGAGTCCGATCTTCAGGAGAGATTCAGATGAGATTACGCAAGTGGACGATCGCTGCACCATGGTCACATCATAACTGGACGTTTTCTTTATCAGCCCAGATTACCATATGAAGATGTTTCGGGAAGGGGCTGAACAATATCTGATGATTTAATCCTTGGACAGGACAGAAAGGAAAGAGTATGGTTTCCCATCATCATACGTACCCATTTTCAAAGTAATCTTGAGCAATATCGTGTCCAGAGTTGCAGCATCCGACGACGATAGCTTTCTTTCCATTGCCGTTCAACTTGGCGCCTGTGAACTCGGACGAGTGACAGAGGCGATCACCCTTGAAGTCTGAGATTCCAGAGATGTGAGAGGGGAAGTTCATCTCGCCAGAGTGACCAGTGGCTTGGATGATGTGATTGGGGTGGAGGACTCTGGTTTCCATAATGCCAGACTGTTTCTCACGCTCAACAAGGATGCTCCATTGCTTCTTCGATGCGTCCCACTTGCTCTCTTTGATCGTAGTTGATGTCCAGACGTTCAGCTCTATCAATTTGGCATAAATCTCGAAAAATTCGGCCAGTTTGTCTTTTGGTGTGAATATTGGCCAATGAGGTGGGAAATCGACATATGGCATATGGTCGTACCCTTTGAGAATACAATGTCAGCAACTTTGCTCGCTTACATATGTTTCGGGTGCAGTCCTGAGAGTAAATCGCGACGACCATCGGATGGGAACTGCCTCTGCCCAACTAACTTACAAACTGGATCGTGAAGAACAAGCTGATGGTATCGATTACGCCAGTTATCTCCAATCCGGGGATTTTGGTCCATTATGAGAGCTTTGATGCCAAGCATCTTCAAACGAGCCGCTGAGGTAAGACCACCTTGACCAGCGCCTGGAATCATTAGCTACGGAAGAGATTATCGTCTCTCTGAGTGCGCACCAAGGATCAGGACAGTGGGGTCGCTGTCTTCGAAATTTTCCTCGCTAGTGCGACGCTCAGCCCAGTTCTTCCTTCCGGGCTGGCCTCCATGCGCAACACCCTCTGGGCGACGACTGAAGATAGCCTCTTCATGACCCTGTAGCTCCCGCATGGAGGTGAAGAGGGATAAAGCCTTCAACTTGCTACCCTGCTGCACCAATCTTGCAACACCAAGGCCTCGTCCAACGTCCGACTCGACTTTCAAGAAAGTCTGGATACCTGGGATCTGTCCCTTGCCACCAAACACGGTGGCAGTGGGAGATCTGAAAGCAGTGGTCCTGTCGACGGCTACGCTTTTTAATCTGCATCCCTTCTTCAAGAAGGCCTTTGCTTGCTCAGGACCTTTGAAAGTGTGATAATCCCATGAGAGGCAGAGATGGTCGCGCCAGTGAGCCTCTGGCAGGAAGAGCTCTTCGAGACCAGCGAGACTGGGACTTTGGATTGACTTTTTGAAGGAGGATACCCATTCTTCGGTGGTTCTGTCGACATCTTCGTCTTCTGGCTTGGATGCCTCGATGGCTGAGAGATCGGCGACGGGGATGTTGACTGATCCTGGCTCCACACGCTGGTAGGAGGGGACTGCAGGCATGCTTTGAGTAGCTGCTGCTGCTGCCATGTTGGATAGGGATTCAAGTGAAGATAAATGCTGATGTGCGGCTCTCCTGTCCTGGATTTCGGAGGTGACGGTGAGTTTTTTTTGGTTGTGTAGGACTTGTGTAACAAATGGGACTGGGTTTCAGTGAGACATTCAAGGGCCTTTTGAAGGAAGGTACTGGCTTGGGGAGCTACCTTACGCCTTCCCAAAATGCTGTCTGTTATTTTACCTTAGCGAGTCGACGGCACCTCTTTCCTATTCTGATCATTGAGGACCGATAATCGTCGGTTTCCTTAAATTTTAATTCGAAAGAATTGACCGACTTGCTGTAGCAAGTCGGCATCACCAAGGCGGGGACACCTAGCAAGGCGGGACAGTAAAATTTGCTCTTTTTTAATGAATAGAAAATCAATCAATTATAATATAATAACATTATTTGTATAAAAAGATGCAACGTATTAAGTTTGATATTAATCAATTAATCGAAGTTTAATAATAAGTTGTTATTACTTTATTATGTTGAGTTAAAGTAGTAAAAATGGTACTTTTGGTTGTTGTTTTTTTTTTTTTCGATTTTACTAGTGCGTATATATTAGAATTGCCGCGTAATACTAGATTAAGCGAAGAACACGAAAATCAGACTTTTACTGAAACTTATCAAAAGAATACGTGCATTCCTATCAACCTTGATTTAATAATTAATATCTATAGTAATATAATATATTAAATCATTTATATTCGATCTATGTGATAATTTTTTTTAATTAAGGCTGTAATTGTTACGATATTCGTAATAAAGAAGTAAATTTAAATTATTTAGGACAGTTTTTACTCATTTTTTCATTACATTTCAATGTATTAAATCACTATAAATAAATGCATTCTTATAATATTAATTCAAGTTTATAAAGCAAAGTTTTCTGAGCATATAAAGATTTTTTTTTTATATTAATAGTTGTTATTTAATAAGTGGTATACCGTTACTGTCCCGCCTTGGTGGTCCCGACCTGGCGCAGCCAGGTCGGGATTTTTTACAAATTAAATTCAAGGTAACCGACGATTATTCTGATCATTGAGTACCGATAGCTTTGATTTTTTTAGAGAAAAAAAATAATCATACATGTTTCATATTTGTACTTCAGAATTGAGCATCACCAAACAGTCAAGCATCTAAGAGATCCTAATCTTCGCCGAATCGGTTCTCGGATCTCGTAATAACTACCGCATGCTACCATGTTGTCGAAGCGAGCTTGATAGTACCGAGGAGTGTGTGCTGATGTGGACGATAGGGTATTCACGCCGGAAGAAGGGGAGAGGCCTGGAAAGTGATGACCCGTAATGGTGTACTATCTGTGTGTACGAACATGTGTAAGCGAGCGAGCTGTGTTGTCATTGCGATCGATTACAGATCCGGACTCCACTTCTCATTTTTCTAACGAACAACAAGAAGAACCGAGAGCTTCGCTGTTGACTTTTTCCCCTTGGACTTGCTCCGGAAGATCCCTATCCAGCAGCCGTTCACGACTCCTGGGAAGCGCTCCTCTGGCTCAAGTCCACCGCCTACCACCTCCTCTCTCTCGATCTCTCGAAGGTCGCCGTAGGAGGTTCCAGCGCTGGCGGAAATCTAGCAGCGGTAATTTGCCACAGAGCTCTCTCCGCTCCATCAAGCGTCCCGAAACTCCGCGTCAAACTGCTCATCGTCCCGGTCACGGACAATACCGCCCTCCCGTCCAACACTCCCCCCTGGAAAGAAAACGGATTCGCGCCCGCTCTTCCGTCGCTGAAGATACTGTGGTATAGAAATCACTACTTACCGGATGAGAAGACATGGCCCGAGCCAGAAGCAAGCCCGTTGCTGTATGAGGGCGGGTGGAAGTAGTAGCCGTCTGCGCTTGTTGTCGGAGGAGACTTGGACGTGCTGGGAAGTGAGGGGGAGGCCTACGCCGAGAAGTTGGAGAGCGCGGGGGTTGAGGTGGAACTGAAGGCTATGAAGGGCATGCCGCATCCATTTTTTGCTATGGATGGAGTGTTGCAGCAGGGGAGGGACGCCATCACTTATATGGTGGAAGCGTTGAACAGAGCTTTCGCTTAAGATGTTTTGATCTGTTGTGATTGATGAGAACAGATGGGATGGCGTGCTCACTTGACAGCGGTTCCTCTTGTTTCTCCTTTTTTTCAGAATACGGACATGCTTGCTACAGTACTGTATTAATCAACAAGCGATACGCGAGGAGGAGGCACAGTTAAGGCGTCAAGTACAAAGACAGCTTGCCCTCGGCACTCTTTTCCACTAACCTGCTTTACACACACCTTCATAATGGAAGGCTCGAAACTTCAGGGCCCTTTACTTTCACCGTACATGTTCATTCTATCAGGAACCTACGCCACAGGCCATGAAACTCTCACAGGCAATCTCGCCAAATCCATAGCGGGCTCTTGGCTCAGAGGAGAGAACGCTTGCAATAACGCCCCCTCGATGGCGAGTGCCCACGAAAAGAAAGGTGCAATATCGACTGAAATTTCAAAACACATATGTAAAGGCTTGATTTATAAGAATGTACCGGATAGACTTGTCGTCCGATGTTCTCATGCGTGGAGAAAGGCTTACCAGTTTCAGCGCCGCATAATAAAGATACCTCGAGAAGGGTGTTTCGCTATGGTAACCTGCTGCATTGAGATATCCTAAAAACGCCAGACGAAATTGGCAGGAGATCCAAGACTGGTATAAGTGATACTGTGAATACTCCCTACACCAGCTCCCAAACACCCTTCCCACTCCCCCCCTTAAAGAACCAACCCCCCGCTCGTGACCCCGATCGTATTCCTCCTGACAGTCTCATCAACAACATCGACTACATACGCCCCCTCCTTAGTCGTTGCTCTCCACCGCTTCCATTGGTCTTCAACACGATTGACCAACGCCATGGTGTTCGGTCGATCCGCCGGGTGATGCTTCAACATGTTTGCGACGATATCTCTTAGGATCTGGGAGTAAGCCCCGTCGTTCATGCGCGAGATCTGCCAGTTATAGTCGTAGTGGCGTGGTGGCGGGATGCCAGTCATCATGGTGTAGATGGTAGCGCCAAGGGACCAGATCTCGCTGGCGCGGGTGTGAGAGTGGGTATTTCTATAGATTTCCTAATTCGAAGACCTCTCTTAGCCAAATTCCACAAGAGTCAGAGCGGCGGGGAGGGAGGGAAGGAAGACAAAAAACGCGCTCGCTTACCGGAGCAAAGAAATACTGCTTCTCGAGCGGCGCGTTCTCGATCCGCGGCGTGAACGCCACCGTCGCCCCCACCGTCCCAGTAACCTTGGCCCACTGAAACCCTCCCAGCTTGCACTCCCCGTACGACTCATCGCCCACCGGCTTCTTGAACCAGATCTGCCCGGGACTGACGTCCGTGATGAGGATGGCGTGCCAGTCGTCGTCATGCTGCACCCATTCTCCTGGAATGCCATCCGTCTCCTTGACGCCGTGATGGAGCCAAATCAATGCACGCGAGATGCTTCTCAGTACGTGCCAGCAAATCCCTTCCGGGAGAGCTGGTCGACGGTAGTTCTGGGCGGCGAGAGTGTGCCAGGTTGCCTCGTCGTGAAAGGGCGGGTAGGTGCTTGCTGAGGGCAGGAGATAGGCGAGGGAACCGCCATCCATGTCCTCCCAGACCGTGACATCGCCGTAGGAACCGACGGACTCATTTGAGCTGCCTTCCAAGTTTGCATTCCGGACTATATCCACGAGGGAGATAATATTCGGGTGGTTGAGGATGAGTGAGATGGGTACAGCGGCTATGGGAAGGACCAGGTCGGCAAGCTTTGTTGTTGTTGTTTCGCCCTTGAGACCTCTGGCTACGACATCAGGGATCTTGGTCGCAAGCCACTTTGTCTGGTCGCTGACACGAATGACCTTGACGGACGATGCGATATTCTGGGGCTCATTGGGATTTTGAGGTATGTATCGTTGATGAACGGGGATCTTGGTCGACTTGACTGGCCTGATCGGATTCATGATTGAGGTGGTACGAGGAGGTTTTGAGACTCAAGCGATCAAAATGCTACAGATATCGTGGGCGATGGAAGCGCCAACATCTGGATGAGATGGTAAGCAAGGTTTGGATTGGAATGCCAGGAGGAATGTAGTCTCACCTTCAGGACAACAAAGCTCGCTTCCTAAGTAGTAAATGGAATCTTTGATGACATTGTTCCTCACATTTCGACTGACTGGGACATTTTTGAAAAGAGTTTCGGTGCTTTTCATTCTTAATAATTGAAGTCTTTGCAATTGTCTTGGGTTCGATCAATTGCAAATAAGCTAGGTCGGTCGACAGCAAGGTAGCCGATCAGCTGATTGAGAAAAAGTCGGGTAGTTCGTCTACGGTAAGTACCGGTCGGTATCCAGCCCGCAGTCTTAGGTAAGGATGAATGGAGGCCCACCTCCCTAAGCGAGCCGACGATTCGTTGCAGTAGCAAAAGCACGATGGACGGAAAGTTCAAACTTGGCGCCAAAAAGCGGCATCCAAATTGCTCAGAACAGGATTTACCCCAAGATTGAAGGATAGAAAGCTCAACCTTGAAGTAGTAGGTAATTTTGATATTTGTCGTACAACTAGAACTAGAACTAGAACTAGAACTAGAACTAGAACTAGAACTAGAACTAGAACTAGAACTAGAACTAGAACTAGAACTAGAACTACAACTACAACTACAACTACAACTACAACTAGAACTCGAACTAGTTGTAAAAGGGTTGCTCCTGGTATAAACAAGGCCGTGCTCCTTGGCGCCCCGCCAAAACTACTCTGTACTACCGGTAGTCACGACACCGTCACGTTCACGTCCCCCACTCAAATCACTTCCCACTCCGACTCCCACTCCCACTCCCACTCACATCATGTCAATTATATCTATCTATCAACCCTCATTTTCATTCTACTAGGTACTACCCCAAGAACATGATTCTAATCAGCCGTCCTCAACTTCCGACCCAGCCATGGCCGAGCCGAAAAGATTTTCTGAGCGGCAACAAAGCCCCGTAAGAAGGGTAAGGCAAGCCTGCCACAATTGCCGGTAACGTTCCTGCTAGGCCAAGTGATATATATAGCAATTGCTGATCCTGGAGATCAGACGTAAAAAGTCCAAATGTCCAGGCGAAAGACCCGAGTGCTCAATTTGTAGCCGACTACAGCAGACCTGTTCGTATGAAGTTTTCGAGCCTGAAGCTCGTAAACGAAAGAGGTCCCCTGAGCCCATACGTGATGCGCAAGGGGACGTGTCGAAGAGGTTCGGGACGATCGAGCAGAAGCTGGAAGAGCTTGCGGCTTCCATGAAGTAATTTGGTCTATCAGATTCCTAAAATCTGAATGCTTACCCCGACTAGAAAAGCCGCTCCAGTCTCACATATTAGCCCAAATCACGTAACCGAGGACAGCAGAGGATATCAGCAACAACAATCACCTCTTCAAGGTTTCCACTCCTCGGTGGCACGTGTTGCGAGCTTGTAAGAGTTTCTGTTTTGGGTGGTCTTGAGTCATGTACTGAGCTGAATGACCCAGAAATTCCGCAATCGAAGGGCTCCCTCCCGATGTCGTAGAAGATGGTGTCAAGACTTACTTTATGGCTTTCCATGCACAACCTTACAACTTGATGTGCCAGAGGGAGTCGCTTCGGCCGGGCCATGTCATAGATCCTGTCGTTCTGGATTCCATGCTTGCTCTGAGTATTCGCTGCTCTTCTCATCCCTTCTGGTCAGATCAGTCGAAACTCAATGATTGTATTCGCGCCCTGACTGATGATTCATGGAAAAAGCTCGTCAATCTGTATAGCCGAGGGGATACAAGTCTGCCTTATTTACAGGGACTTTGCCTTCTGGCGCAGGTCGACTTTGCTGGTTAGTTTATGTCTATTTGCTATGTTCGTCGGCTTGACTGATCTCGACAGACGGGAGAGTACAGAGAGCTCACACCCAAATATCTCTCGGCGTCAGAATTGCTCAGTCCCTAGGTTATCTTACAGAACCCGCACGTCTCGAGGAAAGGAGTGAGGAAATTGTCCGGTGTACTTGGACTTTGTTCATGCTTGACCGGACGTTCAGCATCACTCGTCTTGTCTCGCCTTCACTCCCTTACCAGGAATTCAGGCTTCCCAAACCACACTGGGAGGGTGCACTTTCGTTGAATCCGATGTACCATAATCTCAGCACTGAGACCTCCTTGGGAAGCGGCCAAGACCTTTCGGCTCTGCTAGTTGGTGTCTACGCCATTTGGGACGATGTTATCCGATATGTTTTCGCGACAACAAGCAATAGCACAACTCCTCCTTGGCAACCTGGCTCTGAGCTTGCTACGATCGAATACAGATTTGCCGATTTTGAACCAGGTTCGTCGACTGAAGACATCTATCTCTGAGGGCGATTCTGACTCCGACCAAAGACTTCTCCACGCATCGATACCGAGAGGTTGACTTTCCTCGACGAGCTATACAGGAGCCACACTTGCGACCATACTTCGCGTCCTGGCTCTGCTTTCAACTGACTTATATGTCAATACAGTGTTGCGTGTGCGCTACCCATCACCCAAACTCCCGCAAGCGACTGACACGCTCTAGGCATCACCCATTCATCATGTTTATCAAATTACAACACGTTATACGGAAGGTACCACCCAGTTTCCTTCAGAAATCATACAAAAGCTCTCTCATTCACTCCCGCTGGATCATCCGATTTCTCAACGAGATGGACGAAGCTGGAATGATGCTTCATGACCCATTTGTTGGGTATCTTGCGGCGATAGCTGCAACAATCCAGCTCGAGCATACGTTGAGCAAGCATTCGGACGTTGCAGCAGCGGCCAGACTTAGTTTTGCGAGTGCTGTACGGTATCTTAAGAAGCTATCGAAGTATTGGACAAGTATCCAGGAATTGGTACGTATCACTCGATCGATCCAACTTCAAAGCTCTCACACAAGAACATAGCTTTCAATAGTCCAAGAACTGGCCGCGAGATTGAGGCACCGACATACTCTTTATTACTCACAGGATGACTACGACGGTATCTTGCCAGCAGTCGAGAGCGAAAGGGTTGGGCTTGCGGGAGATGATGCTGAACTCATGTGGAAAGTATTTGACTACGCCTCGATGTCAGCATTGAGCGGAAAACGGCCAAGAAACAACCCAGAGGGAGCAAACAAGACCAAACAAGGCTCCGATGGGGTTCTCGTGGCCCAGCCAGAACGCCAGGTAGGGAATCCGAATGTTTTTGCTAGCGTGCAGCCGTCCGGGGTATGTTTAACTGGTGGCAATGCCGCCCCGGCCCCCAAGGACTTCCCCAATATGCAGGCGCCGGAAGGCATGCTCGAACAACCAAACTTATTGCCGTTTGAGGAGCTTCCGGAAGATTGGGCATTTACCATTGATGACTGGACATTATTTGGTGCACCAGGCTCAACATATTTTTAAATCGAGGCCTCATGACTGCACACTCATGTTTATGGACATTGGAATTGCATCATTTATTTTCTGGATTAAATACAGTACGGATCTGGTTTCGGAAAAGAAATCACCCTTCTGTTGAACGGGCTGACTGACTGGCGCATTAATGTTGTATTTTCTCTTGTCGTTATTCTCAGACTTTTATCCGGAATGGCGCCAAGACTGCTCTAAGGCCACGTGCTGCGACGCTAAAAATCGACTCGCTCTCCGACGTGATATCAACCGCACTACACCTTCGACTCGTCGTGAACTGTTCGACAGGCAGCGTCTCTTTGGCTTTCCGAACAATTCTTGGAGCCTCGGAACTGTACTTCTTCCTGTATGCTTCCAGAAGATCAGGCGTCACATCACTCCCTCCACAAACGGCAACAACAATCTTCATCTCCCGCCACTCCTCATCACTCATATGGCTGCCCATAGCTTTCCGCAGCTCGCCGTTGTACACAGCTGCGAGCGCAACACCGCAAGATACCTCGATCAGGGTATCCTCATCGTCCGCAAACCGAACGGAGCCCATAGCGGCCTCAGCATCACTCAAGACAATGCTAGTCACGTTGTGCTTCTGCGCCAGCTCAAATGCCCGTGCAGCAACTCGGACAATGCCCAGCGATGTCGCTATGCTGGTGATCTTTGGCAAGGTGATGTGCTTCGCTCCTCTCAGACTCGCGTTTAGACTCTCAGCGCCCCGAGTCTCTACCGCCAAGATCTTCGGAGATTGTGGCCGTCTGAGAGAAGGGGTGTAGTTCCGCTCTATCGCAGTTATGATGCCTGTGAGAAGCGATCCGCCGCCAACACTACAGACAGCACCATCCATGCCACCCTCGTCTTCCATCTGCTCATACACCTCCTCGAACATCGACGACGCGCCTTCCCAGATGATCGGGTGGTCGAAGGGAGGAACATAGAAGCCGTTGGGGTCCTTGGACAGCAGCTCTTCTTTGAGAAATCGATCCGCGTCAGCCCAGCTTGCGCCGACTTGATGCACGCTCGCACCCAGTGACCGGATCTTGTTGGCCATAAACGAAGATGTCGGTGTTGGAATGACGACCGTCGCGGGGTATCCCATTGATCGAGCAGCTGTGGCACAAGCGATGCCAGCGTTGCCGCCGGATGAGCAGTAGTAATGGATCTTTGCGAGAGACTCTGGATCGCGGTTGACGAGGGCGCTCTTCATGAGGTGGCTGATGCCTCGATACTTGAAAGAGCCGGATGGCTGGAGGTTGTCCAGCTTGAGAAATATTCTACTGTGTGGGGGTCAGAAGATGTTATATGTGAAGGGGACAGAGGGGAGACGAACCATCCTGCTGCTGTGGAGAGAGCCGAGGACTCAACGACAGGTGTGCGAGTCCAGAGATTTTCCGACATTTTGGGATATTTTGAGATGGGGAGAATATATTTCGGCTTGAAGATAAGTCGATGGGAAGGTTGAACTGGACTTGAGAGACGGAGAGAGAGAGAGAGAGTAACAACAAGACCGAGTGTTGAAGAGGTGCCTTCTCCTTCACGACCGGGCGCAGAGCGATACCTTTATACCTTTATACCAAGCCACGAAACGGTAGCCAGCATCACATTCTCACCGTCTCCACTCTTTCCTCCTCGATATCACCACAAGCCCACCACGCGGCTGCAGCACGGGAAGTAAACTATTGTCCGCCGTTTCTTATGATTGGCCGAGCCCTCTACCAAAATACTCGGAGGGTCCGAGTTTCGCTGGGATCCGGCTACCGCCTGTCCGGTCACGTGGATGGCCCGATCAGGTGAGCGGCGCTCACACCACCGAAGGATGCTTGGGGGACTCGACGCAGATAAGCTTCACGGAGCTTTTGCAAGGGAATTTCATCCATGCCACTTATTTACGTTATCTCTTCCTTCTAGTACATATGCGTATGCGTACGGACCAGCCAGCTACAACTAAGTAGTAGTATCTCTGCTAGCTACCTACCTAACTGCATCTTGGGGTTATCCCCTACACGTACCTAGTACTACGTAGTCGTAGTAGGACGTAGTACGCTCTCGACGGGCTGGAGCCTCGCTAACCTTATCAAGTGGTCTTCAACCACATCAAGAGAAATTTCGCCGGGCTAGATAGATAGGCAGAAACTCCCCATTTTTTAAAAAATCTGGACTTCTTGTTTTCTCCGTGAATAAGCTTACCGGCTCTTCTACGAAGAAAAGCATGTGGCGCCGGCATGACCGTTCACCATTCATTCAATTCAGTCTGGAGATTTCTCTTTCTCATGTTCTTTTTCTCATCCTCATTCACGTCACGTCTATTACGTTGTACGCTGACCTTTGCAGTCGATATTACTTGCCGCATGCATATACAAACAACTACTTATGATCGCCTCACTCTCTCTCTCTCTCTCTCTCTTAATCTACATATCATCAGCGATTTCCCTTCCTGGGGCCAATAGCTAGCTAGCCAGCTCAACGAATCGATCAATCAATCGTTCGGCCTATTTGCTTGCTTGCTTGCTTGCTTGCTTCCTCTAAGCGATCGATGCGTGGGATCGCTCGCTCGCTCGCTGACTGTAAAATTTACAGGCCGCAAAGCGGCATTTAAATTTCACATTACTATCCCAACTTCCCCCCCACACAACCACTGCCTCTGCCTCTGGCACTTACTACCTACGTACTTGTACTTGCCTATGAAACTGTTGCCACCCCCGCACTACCCCCCGCACCAGAGACGTGGGGTGGTCATTCGGAGTGGAGTGACAAAGCAAATTTGGCCGTTTTAATGTCTAGGTTGGATTGAGTTGACAATGGGTACGTTCCGGGTGCCTCGCCCCACCCACCCACTATCAAAAGGATCATGCAAGGCTACACATCTTTATAGAGGTATACAAACTAGTAGTACAACAACCATCACAGGCACAAGCTTAAGAATTACACTCTGAGAATCGGGCATCTACGCACGTTGTACTACCTAGGGATATCATCAAAATGCAGATTTATACTTTATCTTCTTGGACCTTCCCTCCACTTCCCCTCGTTTGAAAAGGATCGGGCAGGGCTACAGATATGACTGTATCGCTAGACGGTAGAGGTAGGCAGGTAGGTATACAAATTACTACAAACAAACATCACAGGCATATAAGAATTACACTCTCAGAATCGGGTATCTATCTACCGATACGCACGTTGTACCTGGGGATATCATCAAAACGCGGATTTATACTTTATACTCCTGGACACCCCTCCTCTCCTTCCCCTCGTTTGAAAAGGATCGTGCAGGGCTACAGATACGTATGACTGTTTCGTTAAGGAGGTATACAATTAGTAGTACTACAAACAAACATCACAGGCATGAGCATAAGAATTACACTCTGAGAATCGGGTATCTACGCACGTTGTGCCGAGGGATATCATCAAAATGTAGATTTATACTTTATCTTCTTGGACAGCCCTCCTTCCCCTCGTTTGAAGAGGATCGTGCAGGGCTACAGATATGACTGTTTCGTTAAGGAGGTATACAACTACAACAAACATCACAGGCATAAGAATTACACTCTGAGAATCGGGTATCTACGTACATTGTACCTAGGGATTTCAAAGTGCAGATTTATGCTCTATACTCTTGGACCCCCCCTTCCCCCTTCCCCCCTTCCCCCACCCTCAGGGTGTGATTTGTTATGGCTGTTGTGGTGAGGCATATGTACTCTGTACCTTATATATCGATAGCTATGCCAAGCCTTTCACCATATCCTCTTCAGCATCTCATATCGACTAATCTTCCCGAAATCCAGACTCTTGTCCGCCTTCTCCTTCCCCATCTTCTCCTTCTCCTTCATCTTCCTCAATGCCTCCGGGTCGTCCTGGTAAATCCATCGTCTCTTGTCCTCGTCGACTTCCGTCATGCCCCCAACCCCAAGACGCTTACCCTCCGCGCCGTAGTTCTGGTGCTCTCGCTTCTTCATGCTGCGGTACCGGTTGCGGGCGAATTGGAGGAGGAGCATGCCCAGCACGAGCTTACATGCGAGCAAGACGAAGAAAGCACCGAGGAAGAAGACGAGCATGGTCAGTGCGGCAATGGCATCATCCGCGCTGGGCAGGTACCAAGGGTTGGTGGCTAACGGGTCCGGAATACCGAAAGTCGAGCGGCCCAAAGCCTTGCGAATGATGGTATCGAAGTGTTCTAACGCAGCCGTCGTGGCCGCAGACGTGCTCGTCGATTCGACGGAGAGAGCGGTTGCGGTCGATGCGACTGGGGATGGGAGATGGGTGGCAAGGAACATGTGGTAAGTTTGCATCGAAGATCGAATGAAAAGGCACGACAAGGGGATGACAGGCAATCCGAGACGTTTGATCAAGTTCTGGTTGACAAAAGCCTGCGCTATCTTAGCCAAGTTTTTGATATAGCGGTATGACTTACATTGGTGTAGTAGTCCTTGGCAAGGACGTCCAGATAGCGCTGATAGACGGCCGGCTTAACGTTGTTGAACTTGCTTATGTAAGAGTGTTTGATCCAGTCCACTAACATCTCGCTACCGATTACCAACAGGAAAGGAGTCAGGACTTCTCCCGACCAACTGGGGAAGATGGTAAAGCTGCTGGGAAAGATGGAGCTGCTCCGGGTTGATGCCCTCTCCCCTACCATATCACCATCTGATCCGCTGATGATACTCAGCCCACCCACTTCGACAATGTTTCGCAGAGCAATGATGACTAGCATAAGCCAAAGCTGAAACCTCTCCACGATGTCGGCGCAGGTGAGTTGAAACAGGTTGTCCTTTTCAATCTTCTTGAACACGGTCGACTTGATCTCCACAAATTGGTTAGATATAAGGAGGGTGAGCAGCGCGTTGGAGTAAGAGTTGACGGCGACATTCAAAGCGATGACTTGGTAGAACAGGGCAGTTGCGTGTGTAACGTTGTAGATTAGTGCCAGGATGAACATGCACAAAGGTCGCAAAACCTTGCTTCTTCCGTCGACATCCCGCTCCAAAGTCTCATTGGAAAACAAACACTCAAGAATGTCCTGTCCAAGAGCAGCAAGAAGCTTGTCACAAACCTGAACCTTCGGTCAGCAATGGTCTTAGATTGGAGAATTTTAATTTATTCTTACCTCGAGGGCGTTGAAAATGACATAAAGCTTGATTGCGGATTGACCTCGGATGCTGTGGTACATCCGGCTAGCATCCAGCTTCATGAGAATGATACAGCTGCACATGATAACTGCTCCCTGAAGGAGATCTGCTTTATTGTAAGATGATAGGGAAGATGGCTGGGACTTCATCCGTCTATGCCTGCGACCCCAATTTTGTCTCGACTTCCGTTCCAGCTCAACTCTCAGATGTTCTGCGTTAAGATTAGGAGGCCCGATTTCAATTTTTCTCCCAGACTGGGATTGATAAGAGGCCATGGTAGAAGCTGATGGACGGCTCGCTCTAGATACACTTCGTGACCTCTCTGCCGAATCGGTGCTTCCCCGCCTCTCACGTTGACGGTGCCAGAACCTTCCCGATCCTTGGTATATAAAACCAGCAATGGAGCGTGCCTCCTTTGCAATGGCTTGGCCCCACCACTGAATCAAGATGCCAGCTGCTTTGAAGAAACGTAGAGGCAGGATTGTAAACGTGTGCAGCCAAGCGTCCAGACATGCCATCGTTCCAAAGTAAAGAGTCTGTTCTAGTTGTGGGGGCAGTAATAGAAAATTTAACAATCGTTCAAACTTGACCTTCGATGATTCATACGGGAATTCGCTGGACGCTGGACGATAAATGTAAAGAGGTGATGGCCTTGTCGAAGACAGCTCCAGCTGTAGATATGTCGGTATTGACATAGGAGGAATAGGTATTGACTGTGGTATGGGAGATGGCGTGGCCGAGTCTGGTTTGCTTGCGCTGTTTTGGAGCTTCGCTGAGACCTGGCTAAGATCTAATGGTTCCGGACGCAAACTTGATGAGTTCGGCTTGCGTTTCGGTGACTGTTGACCCTGCTGTGCTTTTGTGTGTGGTGCATGTTGACTGGCTGTAGGTGGGGTTGTTATAGCTCGTGAGAAATGCCCAGGCCTTCTGATGAAAGTGTGCGAAGCAGTCTCGGCTCTGGCCCGGCGATTGACTTGATCCTCCGGCAAAACATCCATCGCCTCAGGAGCACTGGTCTTTCTATACCTTCGACGCCTGCCTTCCACATCGGAATGCGGACCATCAGATACAGAGCCTCTTATGTCGATGACTGGCGATGGCGCAAGTGAAGCCTGCGCCGAAACAGTCAACCTTGTTGGCGATGTCACGGGCAAATACTCTGGCGCTGATATCAACTCTTCAACTTCAGCAGCCGACAACTTGAGGATTTCGCCATTGACTTTGTTTACTGAAAGTTTTCGAGGTCTTCTTCTGTTCTCTTCTGCCAAGCTCTCCGTTCCCACAGGTCTCGGCATTTCTCCATTGGCTCTGATGATCGATCCCTCCCGCGGCTTTCCTATTCTCTCTTCTGGAATATCGTGGAGTTCATGGGGTGGCAGCGTCTTCGATATGGACAGAGGAGATAAGATGGCGGTTTCATCGCTGTCCTTGGTTGCCGAGCTGGTTGTTGAGGCTTTCCCGAAGGACCCCGAGTACTTGCGTTCGTGGGCAACTGAGGGTAATGTACCGGTGTTTCCTACCGACGACTCTGTTCCGCCCTGAGATGGGGATATATTCCGTGAAGAAGGCGATGGCGATCTTGAAGGCGAAGGTGATGGAAGTTGAGATGCTTGTTGGACGGCAAGATCGAAGCCGGGAATACTGGTACTGGGACCATTTTGTATGGTGTCATGTGACCTATGTGTTTCCGGGCTGGCTACCTGCATCGCCACCTGTCCAGTTCTCTGGCCCTCGGGCTCTGCGACTGACACCATGACCGGGGACCTGTCAACGGTTCATAGGTGCTTAAGATCCAGGCAAACCTCGTACAGAGCAGGATGCGATGTGAGAGAACAAGTGATAGTCGTCTTGGATGTCACGGTATTGCTCCTCCGTATAATTGCAGATTTCACATCCACAACGCTCGGTTACAGTTAGCGTGCCAAGAGCACCCCTTTTCGCTCGGCTGCTGTTATGTTTATCTCAACCCGGGCCAGAGTCTGAACCCCGTCGTAGATTGGTCTCAACTTTCGTTTGCTTGGTTTGGTTGGTTTGCTTTGCAAAAGTGCGGTGCGATATTCAAACCGTGGTCGTTCAGTCCCCGCGTCTGTAATATTTTAGATCACGTGTCCCGACATTCCTACCCTCTGGAATGCTATGCTCCTCGCGTTGGGCTGGAATGTGACAAATAGTTGCGATGGATTTTAGTTGATGCTCACAATGCAATTGTTCACCCGCATCATCCAGACACAATCGTCGTCGTGATGTCGGCAACAAGAGAGAAAGTCAAGCCATGCCCCTATGCCGGTCCGTTCGATCCGTATGCAACTGTAACGTTAACAGAAGCAATGCTAACTTGTATCGTAGGTTTCCAATGCGAGTACGTTTCTCCCGAGCAAGGCTCTCGATAGGAGTACTTACTGATGGTCCTGGGCAGAGGACAGCCCAAACATGTCGACACCGAGTTGCCAGATGAAGGCAGTGGCATATTTTACTACATAGCCGAGCCCTATGGGAATTACGTGCACAAAAATCAAGACTTTGCGGTGCTCCTGTGCTCCGACGAGCACGGGCTTTGGCATAGCAGCAGGCTCTTGGCAGACCAATTCGCTGGTGTATGAGCTCTTCGGTTATCCTCTTCGTTTACCGTCACGAAAATCTCACTGACTTTGAATCTTCAAACAGGCTGGGTATTTGACTATTGTACCTGACCATGTGGACAGACGCACAGTACAGGGCAGTGCTATCACTGGTGCGTATTTCCTTGAGACGGAGTGATCCCTCACGATCCAGCTGACCAGACTTCAGGTGCTCCACATACATTTGACGAAAAAACATCCTCAGCCCGAATCGCTGAAGCCTTAAAATATCTGAAAGTGCAAAGAAACGTCACCAAAGTCGCTGCTGCGGGGTAGTAAGTCAATAGGAAATTGACCCCAACTTTAGCCAATATACATTCATCGCTGTTATCGCTGACTCCATCATCATCCAGTGGAATCGGTGGGAACGCCGTTGTATCCCAACTGGGTCTAGGCGACGTTCACATTGGCTTCGTTGCTACTCCGACTCATGGGAGAAAAGATTTCCTAAAAACTGTCGACGGTATCGCTTGTCCTCTAAGTCTAGCTTTTGCAGATGGTCAGTGTTGGAGTAGTGGCTACCTGCCCTTCTTTCGTGTGTTTAGAAGCAAGACTGACCCCGAAAAACTCAAGAATGACCATTGCTAACCTCTCATGCTTCTGCAGAAGATACTGAATGGGACTCACCCAGGCGAAGCGAGATCGTGAACCGCGTGAGGGACACGTCACAGGCGTATCAGGTCAATCTCTATAGCCATGTTCCTCCCGGCTTCGCCAGCAATCGTGCTGTCTCAACCAAGGCGGAGGTTTACGCCAAGAAGCAAGCGTTCGTTCAGGCTTTGCAGTGGTTCGAGGAGCATTTCCATAACGGAGATTAGGCTAGAGGTGAACTTCGTAGGGCAAGGAAACTGCGGTAATCCTGGTTCTGATCTTTGGTTCTCAGTCAATTGAAACTATCGTTCGCTCGGAATTTTACCTCCCGTCGCTCATAATTTATTAATCGTAAGTGATGGTGCTGGAGATGGTGCTGATCAAATTGATGAGCGTTTGATGCATACGCTGTGATAGTACCTGCTCTCTCCAACCATATAGTGACCACTGTCTCGCCCTAAGAGGCTCTCGTTCTTCTCACCCGAAAAAATCATTAATCACCTGGGTCACCGTCTGTCCACTTTTATCATAGTGAAAGTAAACTTAAAGAACATAGCGCGAGCGTAAAAATCTTCGGAGGAAAGCAAACATGGTAAAGAGAACCCGCCAAAAGATGAAATCTGCCTCGCTCCTCCCAGTTACTCATCCTCTGAGTCCGGAATGACGATGACTTCCTGATGGACAACGCGAACGGGATTTCTAGCAGCTGGCTCCTCATAGCGGGGCTCGATTCGGTCTCGGTTCTTGATGTACTGCATCCAGGAGTCGAGGAATCCTTCAGCGAGGCTAGCTCCAAGGGGAACGGGAACCGCATTTCCTATGCCTCTGATGGCATCCTCTACTCGCCAATTCTTCAGGTCGAACTTTTAGCAGGCGGGAAAGCCTTGGACGCGTGAAAACTCCCGGACAGTCTCGATGCGGTGCTGTGTGGGATGAAGAATCTGAGAAGATGAAAAGTCGGTTTTTTGGTCAAAACTCAAGATTGAAACGAGGTTTACTCACGTTTCCGTACTTTCCTGCAACTTCAAGTTCCGTCATGCAAACATTGTGGATACCGTCCAAAGCCAATCTGCAGCATTTTTTTGGGGAGTAGACCGGAGTAGAGTTGCGGGATCTGAATTTGAGAGCGACCGGGAGGCTCTCGTGATTAGCCTCTGTAACCAGTGGTATCGTACACACGCGCTCGGTATTGATTGAGGTCAGCTTCCTGGTGACGTGGGCAGTGATCACATTATCTGTAGTTCCTTTTCTCATAATTCTCTGGTATTCTGACTTAGGGCCAGAGGCGTAAGTCTGATTATCGCTGCCAACGTAAGATTCTCCATCCAGAGAATCATAGAATGTTATTTTATTCCGCCTTTGTTCAGCTTCGAACTTTTGAAATCGAGTTTGAGGGATGATCAAGTGAGGGTTCTTAATGTCGTACTCCGGAAGGTCTATCCACGCATCGCCAAGGGTAACGACTCTGTGGGGTGTTGATCGGCGTTTGCGATGCCAGTGAAAGTCGGATTGGTTCAACTTTGAGCCAGGCATGAAGATAGGGCACGCAGCACGAGTTTTCCAGAGATGTTCCGGCTGAGGATACTCGGGCAATCGGCAGCCTGGCTGCGTGGCCCAGATGATGACTCTGGGCCGCGACTGAGGGCTACCATGCTCCTCGGCATATAGTACTGCACATTGCACTTGGTATCCCATGCTCGTATAGGTACGGTAGATCATTCTAGAGAATATTAATATAAGATAGGATATGTAGTATTGCATCGTTGCTTACCTGATTGTACCATTCTCGAGTGTCTCTGGTTTAGTTTTGAAATCATTGCTTTCCGGTGTTCGCAGCTAGACAACGGTCAGCTACCGAATTTAATACCCTAGACTCTCCAGCGAGGGTTTACCGTATGGTGTATCAAGCCCGTGACGTTTTCAATCAGGCTGTACTTCGGTCTGTAGAAGTCTACGTATGCCGAATATAACGCTACCAGACTGTTCTTGGGCTCTCCGTCTTTCTTCTGGCAATTCGCAACAGAATATCCCGGGCATGGTGGTCCTGTAGTAATTAGCAAGCTCTATGTGGAATATATTGGAATAATACTGACCACCTTTGATGAAGTCTACTTGGTCTCTGAAAGGCAAATCTGGTATGAGATTTCCTTTCCCGTCAAAGAGCTTCCCCAACTTAGCCCCTTGGTCCCTCTTTATAGCACGTAACAGAAGATTACTCGCGTCTCCTTTGTGAACGATGACTCCAGGTTGATTGTTTCTCATTGTCACGCACGCGGCCTAGAATATTTGTTAATAGATCTCCTTCACAGGGGTATGTAAGTATTATTACAGGATCGATCTCAACCGCGTTGGTAATCCCAGAGATGCCTTTGAAAGCAACCGTCAGTCCACCGATTCCATTGAATAGCTCCTATATAACTGTCAGCATGTATAGACCAGTTTGATATGGTGCTTTTATTTTACCAAAGTTCTTGCTTTCTCGCCCCGCTCTAGGAATTCCCTGACGAGAATCATCTTCTTCTCGTGTTCGAATTTTGTCGCGGAGTATCTTACGGATCCGGAATCAAGAGGCCTCAAGTCCCGGGGTCTTACGCATGAATCCCAATCAATCTCCTCTTCCAGCCTATCCTTGACCCAGAAAGTGTCTTTCTGATCCTTGAATGAGTCTAGGTCGTCCACATGGTCCCGGTGAAGCACGTAACATACTCCGTCCACGATACTTCCGTCGATCTTGATGGTCTCCCCTGTAAAGAATAATCGTCGAGAATCGCGGATGCCGAACTTCCTTCCAGGTTCGTGCTCCTGTCCTCGGCTAGGAACTAAGTCGTCGTACCTTTTATAGATAGCAACTTTAAGTCGGACGTCATGGTCGCTGACCATCGTTGAAGTCAGTTTTGAGACCTCTGAAAATCGTGATAAGTATATATCTTGGATTTGCCCTATTCGACAAGGCTCAGAATGGTCAACCGGAAGTAAGTACACGAAGTCCAAGGTTCGGTATTGAACCTGTCTCGAACAGAAACCGGAGATGATCCCTCGCCCTTTTGAGTCTGGGACAATATCCCACAAGATTCTGGTCTCTTCATCCTGAAGCCTTTCAGCCATTATTTTACAGCAATGGCAAGTCCCGCTGAGAGATTTTTTACCCAAGCCTAGGTAAATGTTTGATTCGTGGTCGCTGGCACTTGTAAACTGTTTCGAATTGGGGTTCCAGTGGTGTCGGTAATAGAAACCGAAATCTTCGTGATCGATTGTGTCGCTGACGGAGTCATATCGACCTGAATTCTGGTCACCGAAGAAGCCAACCTTGACTTTGGCTACAATACAATTTACTGGATTACTATCGCAGCTTGTCAGAAGAAAAAGCTCCCGAGGCCCAGCTGTTTCTCCTAGTATGGTATTCGAGCCAACTTCGAACCATCTTAGATGTACGGAGACTTCGTCGTCCTATTATCCTCAGCCAAATTCAAAGTAGAGTAGTAAGGAGCTTACCTCATCCTCAAATATCGAGATGATTCTTGCGAACCGCGGTTCTTCGCTCTGGGCTTCGGATGCAACAATTACACAATCGCCGGGATGGTAAGAGACACCGCCAAGAGTAATAGATGCAAACGCTTGGGTATCCAGCTTTCGATTGTACCAGATCTGAGTCCCCAATCTGTACGCTCCAGCGTCACTCGATGTATGATCTCTGACTAGAGTTCGCAGCTCATTCATGATATCTTCTGAGTCTGACTCTAGTACCACCCTTTGTCCTTTAGCAATGCCGGGCAATTGTACTCGCTCCATTACATTTGGGTAGAAGAATTTCCACTATCGAGAATCAGTATCCAATTCGAAAAGAGTGTCTATAGAAAAGCTCACAAGTTTGAAAATCCGTGGAGTGACCCAAGTCTTTCCCAAGACATTCTGGCTTGGGACTCTTCTGATATTAGTTTTGCCCACTTTTTGTGATCGTCCCTTGAAATCCGACCACTCGGAAAGTGGTAAATTCGAAAAATCGGGTTTTCGAGGATTACTGCAAAAGTATTAGCTTGGGTTGGGACTGCAAGTAAGTCTCAAGTGGTGATGTGAGAGATTAGGTCATATGTGGAAGTGAATGATTGATCTAATCCGTAGGAGTTCATCTTGAAACTACAATAATAAATACAGGGAAATCTAAATGGAGAATACCAAGAGAATATTCATGCTAGCAGATTGCTTCATTCATGGGAAGAAGAAAAGGCTCGAAGCAGAGGCGGTATATCAACAAACCAACTAATCAAAAGCAAGAAGGAAAAGCGATAATTGAAAATGAATTGGGCATCGTTAGAATGCTCTACCCTTACTTCCTGGATATTTGATTTGAGCAGGTAAGTTCCTAAGCTCTAGAAGCTTGAAAATGCCATGTACTGAAGTCAATAAAACGAGCAGGGCAAAGATCGCGTCGCTGAAAGTCCCCTCGAAGGCAACAATAGCTCTGTACACTATAAAAAAGCCATGAAAGAAAGTCGAAGGGTGCTACGCAATATGTGATGCCGAACTTGCTATTCAAAGGAAACAGGCCTGGTTGGTGGACGTTTGCTAGGTGAGTGAGCCGGAGTCGTTCCGTTCCTTCCTCAACAAGCGAAAAAGCGGTAAGTAGTAGCAGTAGACATGACTAAAGCCGATCAATGCTTTCATTTCCTCATGTGGCTTGCTTTAGGGTTATCAGAAGTTCGTTATTCATGGCATTTTTATAGTTTACGGGGTTGATCGCAGGAGTGACGCTGTTCAGTCGAGATCAAGAAGAGCTACCAAGACTTCTCCTTCGGAGCCGATCTCGACTTTACCGACTTAGACGAGGGACCTTTGCGGGAGGAGTATGAGCAAGGCTTGGAGGTACACCATGACGGAGGAGAAGTGGTCTACGAACAAACAGCAGGCAGGGCTTTGTGTGTCTCGTGTGACATTTGACGAGAGGAAGAGCAGAAGCCTTGGAATTCGTGTCAGGGGAAGGAAAAAGTGGGTGAATCAGCCGGGCTGGGCTGCATTGACCTTGAGGTTACACGGGACTAGTGGACTGGACTCGAGCCGGGGAATTGACAATCAAGCTTGCATCGATGACAGCGAGCTCAGATGTAGAAGACTGGGAGGATCTTGGCCGATTCAATCGTCTTTGTATGGACTATTAAAGAGTTGCTGGGATCAATAACTGACAAAATGGGTTTGCACGCACATGTAAACATCGCAAAGAAGCTGGCTGGCTTGAACTTGCTCAATTTTTCAAAGGAACCGCTTGCAAACTTACAGGTCTTTGTTTTACACGAAGCCCCTCTATGCATCAAGTTGTCTTTTTATTGTTCTTGTGCATTTACCATGCCCTTGAGTGATCAACCGGTAGGGCACCCCATCAAGACCTTTCAAATTCCGAGACTTGTTCGCCATCCACAAGAAAGCAAGCAAACCATGTTCCAAACCATGGTCTACGCCATGGGAGGCACGAGCCCAAGGTAAACGAAGCACCTAGTAAAACACCTCGCCATGCGATATTTGACTTATCAAACAATCTAAACGCCGCGCTGGTTTTTTATCATCAACCACCGTCTCCATATCGCAACCTCTTTCCCTCAGGCAAGCGACTCTTACTTCCGGGGCAACTCTTTGAAAACCTGTCTAAAGATCTCGCGACTCTTGTAAAGGTTACTGATCCTCAAACGCTCGTTGTCCATATGCGCAGAGTCACTGGCCTGACCACATGGTAGATGCGCAGCCGGGGCGTCGAATTCCTTCTCCAGAAAGCGGATACTAGGGATACTGCCTCCTTCGCGGATATACAGCGGCTTCCTCCCCTTCGTTTTGCTCCCGTTGGCGCTATTTGAAGACACGAGGGAAGTTAAAGATGCAGGCTCAAGCGGTATAGCTGCAAGCGAAGTATGATTGCTGCCGTTAGTGAGTGTTGTGACAGTTGCAGGCGTAGGCTTAAGACTAGGGCTCACGCTGGGCATAGCAGGAGAACCAGGTTTCAGGGCTTGAGGCTTTGGTCGTGGACCGGGAACACTGGAGCAGCGGCCTTCGCCGATGGGTCCCCAGACGTTCATGATTGCTTCCTCGAGGGTCTGGAAGATCTCGTTGTCGGGGTCGCCAAGCCAGGCGTCGGCTTGATTATCAATTGTGATGGAGAGATGATTGTGGGTATCAAGTTTGGCGAAGGCGTCGGTGAGGAAGGCTGTGAGGGATTGGATGACATCTTCGACTTCCTGGTTGGGGACAAGACGCAGTGAGATGGCGGCGCTGGCGTGAGAGGAGACGAGGGAGCCGTCTGGTCCGGAGACTTTGTAGCGATGGACTGTCAAGTTTGGTTCTCTCCAGCGTGCCATTAGGGAAGCTTTTAATGTCTCGGGTGGGCCATTCTCGGGGTTACGGCGAATGAGAGTCTCTGTGATATCGTCGTAGCGAGCCTCCTCAACCGCAGTCAGGGGCAGGATGGAATCGTAGAAGCCAGGAATCTGGATCCGGTTGTGGAGACCCTTTAGCTTTGCCAGAATAGAAGTCAGGTCGAACAGTGGCTCATCCATCATGTAGCTTCCGTCAACACCGCTGTGAACATCAGGATGAGAGCTGTCCACCTTAACAGTAGCATGAAGAACACCTCGCAGACCGTAGGTCAAGCAGGGTACATCATCATCCAGCCAGTAACTGTTAGCGAGGATGATGTAGTCAATATCGCCAATCAGCTCCTTGTGTCTCCTCACGGCCTCCTTGAAGCCTCGGGATCCCGATTCTTCTTCGCCCTCAATAAGGAAGATGATATCAGCTTCGAGCGCCTTCTCGTGGATGAGGTCAACGACGCCATAAAGAGCAGCCATGATCGGGCCCTTGTTGTCAGTCACACCTCGGCCATACAGGTAGCCATTGATACCCTTCATGTCGAATGGGTCAATGATCCATTTGTTTTGCTTGTTATCAGCAGGAACAACGTCATCTAAACGCAAAGTTAGATAAGGATAAGGCCATCAATATGTGCTTAACTTACAGTGACCATAGAACAGGATCTTCTTCCTCTCGCCAGAAGTCGCAGGTTTCCCCTTGAATCTAGCGTAGACAACTGGATTATGGCGACCGTCTGTATTCAGCATCTCGGTCTGGGCGCCATGCTTGTTGAACAGCGTTCTCAAGAACGTAGCTCCACGACGACAGTCTTCAGCATGATCTGGTCGTGAGGAGATTGTCTTGAAAGAAACAAATTCTTGCAGAGACTTGAGCAACTGATTCTCAGCAACTTCCGCCTTGCCGGCTTTTGTTGAATCGCAGCCCGTGATGTTCCATACCGAGACTGAGTTATCGTTGGCACCTGTAATGTAGAGTTGTTGTCCATTGAAAGTGGTGAGAGCCGATGCCAGGATTCTGCCTTCATGAGCCTTCCACCTATTGACACAGTGGTATTTTTGGTTGAATAAGATTGAGTTCTGATATTTTCCGTATTGAACCGTACTGTATTTCTGTGCTCGTCAGCCACACTTCCATAAATGCCCTCAGGCCTCTCATCACTCACTCTCGCATATCCAGTAGATCCGGCACTGAACAGATATCCCCAGCCCATTTGCAAGGTCATTACGTCCCCTTTGTGTGCTCTGATGACACGAAGCTTCTGCTTGGTATCGAGATCCCATAGCTCAATGACTCCTTCGAGTTTGCTGCTATACAAAAACGACCCATCGACGGCCATTGAAAGAACCGATTCAGCGTCATCTTCACCTAGGCGAGCGACTTCTTGAATGGCCTGGCTGTTATCGTATGACAGCTTCCAGATCTTGATTGTGCCATCTCCACCACCAGATATGAGCACATCTTCGTCCGCATCCACCAGCCGAGTGATACCACGAACCAGGAGCATACAATAGACGTAGCCAAAATGAGCATATTGCATCATGTGCGACTTGTCAATTTCCAACACCAGGCCATCATCCGCTCCTGTGCGGGTAGTATGCGGTCTGGGTGTGTGTTTTCCTCCTACAGCAACAGAATCGAAGAACCGATGGTTTCGACGATCAGGGTGGTTGTCCGGGCATGGGGAAGGCCTCGTACTTGATTCCTTCAAGCTGCACCATTGAATACTGGTATTCTGGGCACCCAGGTACACCGTCTGGAATTGCGTCGAATATGCCACACTGAAGACATCGCCAACGTCGTACGTACTGTAAACATGGTAGAGCCGGTTCAACGAATCCGGGCACCAGGCATTCACAATCGCATCTCCAGCACTCGAGAAGAGAAGGTTGCCGTCCCCGGAGAGGAATAAGCAGAGGACTGCCCTGGTATGCGCCTGTATCCTGTTCACCAGCTCGAACGAAGCCAAAGACCACACCACAATCTCTCCATCTTGTGTGCCAGCATAGATATATCGGCTTCCCACGGCGAGAGTAAGGATCGAGCTGTCGTTCTGCAGGTGGTGGGCCAGTTCGGGCTTCTCTTGTAAACTCACCCCGGGCACCGTGTCGTCCGCCACTCGATGCAGGACTTCAGCTTCGTAGGGCTCTTCGTTTCTGGCTTCGGCTGTAGACAAATCAGCACGTGGAGCAGCGACGCCAGTGTGTTGAGCATGAAGGCTTCTCGCTCTAAAAATTGAAGCCATTTTGGTGAGCTGTGGCGGTTGCGGAATAGTGGCCGCCCGAGGCTTACTTAGCAGCACGAGCGAGGGGTGAGCTTGAGTCTCGAGGAGGATCTTTACCCTTCGCCAACCTCTCGGATTGACATCCGTACACTATCAATTACCGGCGTACTACCTAGTACTACTTATCCAATTCCGAAACCCTAATTGATTGAAGCGAATGCTACTGCCACTGGATGATAGGAGAGTGAGAGAGAGAAAGGACAAAACTTACTCTGGCTGTTATCGCTATCGCTCCAAATCATCTCTTCCATCTCCTCTCCACTCGCACTGCTGGTCAGCATAGGGAGATCCGGGTCGCACAAGGGCGTCGGCGGTATGGCAAATTCAAAAGGCGACTGGCCGCAACCGTTCCACAGTGAGAGCTGGAAGATCTCTTCGTCCTCCAGATGTGTCTTGTAGGTGTTCTGCATGATGGACCGACAAATAGGCTGTCAGTTGCGCAAGGCTAGTAGAAATAACAAGCGGTTATTGCGCAATGCAGAGTCGTGACGACGCCTTCCTCCTGTGTATATGTGTTTACGTCTTGACCTCGCCTACCTGGCTGCCTATTTATTACGGGATGCTATGTTCAGCTTCTTGGGCAAACAGGCCATGCCCAGCCTGCCACGACGTTACACTCGAGGCACGCTTTCAGCTCGTTATCATGTCTCCATGCTTCAGAATATGCGCAGCTCGTGGCATCCTTTGATAGCTGGTAGAGTCGGTAAGAGAATCCAGCCGGTGTCTTGTTTGCCTGCAAAGTCGATCGCCGGTATCATTGATTCTCGGCATGATAGCATGGCATAGCATGGCATTTTTACGCTGGGATAAAGGTCAGATGGAGGTCAAACACCACAGCCGGTCCGACCGGTTTTTCTGACATCAGAGAGAGACTGTGACAGAATATCTCAGTGGATGATGCGGGTATATCTTGCTGTTGTTTACATCGGAGCTTTGGCATATTTGACGGAGATAATTTAAAATACTGCTTAAAATGACTGTTATTAATGTTTCTATTGCTAGTCCATTACTTTTAAATGCATAGCATTCACAATGTTCAAAGGTGAAGACATAAGTCACATTCTCTCTTCTTAATCAACAAATAGATCTGATAGCAATATGAATGCTCTTAGCTCATCGAAACAGCACCATACAGAAGTACGGTGAAGAAAGAACCTTCTTTTTAAAACCTTAAGCGACCATCCGACCTCGGACACAGATCCACCCGCGGACCAGCACCCGTGTTTACTTTATCTGCAGAATCAAACACAAAAACATACACAAACACAAACCCTTCTTCCGACCTATCCGGTGAGTCCGCTATTCACATTATACCAAGTCAGAAGCACACGCCGAAATCCATATCTTTCCTGTTCATGTATACCACAGACCTAAGACCAACCGCAAAATGTCTAGCTTGACCACCGCTCAGCACAACTAGCGATCTCTATAGTCAAATTTTCTCAATGTCTTGTCCATTGTTTGAGACAACTTCCAATTAACAACAAACAGCCAGCCATTACACTCTACTTTCTGCTTTACTAAACTGGATATATTTAAATCTTAATATATTTAAATTGAAAAAAATTCTGGCTGCAGATAAAGAGCATGTGCCAAACGGAGCCAGACCCGTACTCATCCAGACAGCAGAAATTCTGAGTGTGTGATCTTCTCCCTCAATGATGCAAATTAACTCCTTGTATAATGCGTCTTCTGCCGTCTGAAAAGTGCTATGGTCCTGTTCGTGACATGGCCGTCTGATGGCTCTTCCGCTACTACTTTGCTGTGGGCGATATAAATGCTATGATCCCCTGCTCGGGACCTGCTTGCTCCGTTACCGAGCAGTCAAATCCGATGTGAAAACATGAAGCAACCATATGGCCTCTTTGCTGATCGCGATTCTCGTCTTTCCCTGGCCACAGGATTTCCTTCTTCCACACCGCTCGGATGTGAGCCCCCCGACAAACAGCCAAGTCGCGACTAGTAAAAGAGTCATCACGCTCGCGACCGACCTGATCCCCTCGCTCATCAGAGCGTTCCCCGTATCAATCGTGATGACCGTAAAGCCCACGTTGGGAAAGATGAAAGCCCACCAAACCAGGTGGAAGCCCATCCCCTCCTTCGTAAAGAAGGCGCCGTGGATGACGCCTACCAGCGCTATCCTGAAGAACCAGAAGGCCGTTGCCCAGAGGAAGATGGTGGTTGAGAGGGCCACGATGTGGAAGATGTCGGCGATGAACTCGGGATGGATTACGTGTTGTAAGGTGGTGTAGGACGGGTGTATATCAAAGAGGTCGTTAGAAATGCTGAGCAGGGCGAAGCCGGTGAAGGACGGTGGGCCTACGGCGATGAACATACCTGGTCGTAGGTCTGGCTTAGGGAGACCTTGTGTCATGAGTCTGGAGAGGTAGATGCTATACATGAATATGGAGATTAGCATTCCTAGGCCTTGAAATGTGGCGCCTGCTACCAGGATCGGCAGAGCGTAATTCAACAGCTGACATTTGCCCATCAGCGCCGCGATGGTAACAGTCAGCATAATGGGGAGCATGGGGAGGATCCAGGCTGGTGTCATTCCTTGGATGGTCAAGGGTCTTCCGGTGAAGAGGAAAAAATATTGGCCAACTGCCACGGAGAAAGTTGTGGCGGCGTAGGCCCAGAATAGTACCCGCATGACCACTACAAGCCAGTCTGTGGGTACATAAGGGAGTTAGCATACGCCCATCTACAAGTCTTTCGCGAAGAAGATAGGACAAGTTGCCAGGTGACTTGGGATAATCAGGAAGAGTGATTGACGGGCCTTCCCTGTTACCTACATCCGCATTTTGGCACGCCGTAGGATTGAATCTGTGAGAGAATGTTGACGAACGATATCCAGAAAGTCGGAAAAAAGAGGGACTCGGTGGGGTGGGAGAGAGAAACATCAGGGATTGGGGAAAGAGAATGAACCGAGTAGCAATGGTAGAAGTGAAGATGACAAAAAGGACGAAGTCAAGGATGGACACAATGTCTCCTAGAGCTGTCCAGCCACGAAACTGATGTGGTGTTTATACCAGAACCAAGCCAATTCCTCCCGCAGACTGTCCTTCAGTTACATGAGCTGCTGCTAACAATGTCATAGTTTGTCTGGGAGAATACCATCGTAGTCGTGAACCATGCCCGTGTAAAATGGCGTACCCTATCCCAACTCGCAAAATCTCCATGCTGTGTCCCCGTTTTTCTCTCAATTTGCAGATTCCCCTCTTCCCCTCCAACAAATTTGTCGAGTACCTCCTCCTCGCCGACCCCCCCACGGGCACCGAACGGACTCGTTGGCATATATATTCTCGTGCCTGTTGTCATCTGGATCCGTTGTGTCTGCTGCGTTTCCGGCATGTTTCGTCTTGCAGTCACCTCTCTGGTCTGGACATGCCAGCCTCAGACCAAGGCAATTGCTAGAATAAGGGGGCCTAGAAGTCAGTTGAGGGATAGTGTATAGCAAGTCGACGAGAGCAACATCTGGTCGCTGAAGTTCACTTCGTTGCCGACTTTTTCGTTAGTCCCGTTGCACAGTTGTTGATGTCGAGCAAGGTCGTTTTCGAGGTACGGTACGGGACGATGCGCAATTTATCCCTGCCAGCGGCATTCGTGCATAGAAGATCTAGCCCTTCGTCGAGTTTATCTGTATATAAAGATTCGAGGTATAAACCTGTCCTGCTAGTAGGCAACGGTGTTCCAGCTTGAGAGATGTTCGTATAGACCTGAACGGTACGAAATCTCGCTTAGATGTGGAAGGTAAACATGACCACAATAACCTTTGCTTAGCTGTAATCATAAGGAAACAGTTTCTTTTCTTACATATCCGCGCATTTATGCACGCATCCACGAATATAGAACCCTCTCAATACACAAAACAATAGAATGCGGTACCGCGGACACAGACAACTAATTCTCGTCAGCGAGATTGGCATAATCATCGCATTATGTTTCCCAATAGAAGTGAGCGAGGAAAGCGAGTCGAAGCCGACTGCAGAATCATCAGGGGCGACGGCGACTAGACCCGGAAAGATAGGTATACAGCAATAATGTCTCTCATGACTCGAACTATAGCCTTGAGTACTTGATTGCGCCAGTCAGTGGGATCATGTAAGGGGTCTCTCCTTCCATACGGAGATACTTCATTCAGCACGCACGGTCTGCACATGCTCGCGGGTACCCTCAAGCGGTCAACCGCCTGCTGCTAAGTAAATACACAACAACCTCAGAGCCTCTCAAAACCCGACTTCCTAGCTCAGAAAACAAACCGAACCTGCAGTGGTACCACAGGATGGAAATGACGTGCAGAAATACGACGTGCAACAAAATCCCAAAAGAGCTGTGCAAACTCGCTCCCAGGGCTTTGTGCGACGAGGACACGCTCAGCGGCTTCTCATGACGTGCAGAAATGCGATGTGCAACAAAAGTATTGATCTGGCAGTGCTGATAGCCCAAAGAACTCGCTAGAGCTTTGCTTGGACACAAACAATGAAAAGAGACAGACATGAAGCTCCCAGAGACTATTGGCGGCGCTAGCCCCAATTTGATGCCATACTTAATGGGATCTGGAAAAGGGCCACGGGGGAAATGGCGGACAGTAAACGGGATTCTTGTTATTGATTTGTTGAGCCACTCACCAGCGCCAAGTGAGTCCTAGATGTACACCACCAGCTAGCTATGCATACATTGCCAAAGGACGGAAAATAGCCCAAAGATTACAACAGTCCCAGCCGCTCCTGGCCAAGGACGAAAGAGTAGAGTGATGGCGTCTCAATTTATGGACGGAAAGGTGTGAGAATCGAGGGGTATCGGGTCGGGATTATGCTACAGCTGGGAAACCGGTGGCACCAGTCTCGGCGGGTGGAGGTTGTGGTACCTGGAAATTTTGGTTAGCAGAGGGCAAAGGCAAGTGTGGAACAAGGCCATACCTCTAGTCGCGTGTTCTCAGCCATCATTCTCTGAAACCCAATTCCCACACCTTCAATAACTGCCAGTAGACAGGCACATCCTATCGCTGAGTTCCTCGCAGCCTTGTAACCTCCTCGAACGGCAAGCGCGCCACCAGTGAAGAATCCTGCGATGACTGCCCAGCTGTCAGCATATATCGGGATTATCTCAACTTCCAGAACCGATCGAGTACATACTGGCATTATACGGATCCTCCTTCTTCCTTACTCCCTTCACGGCGCAGTCAAACGTCGAGAACAGCCCCCCCCAAACCCCAAAGTTGCCCCCTAACACCGGTGCTCGCGCTTTGATCGCTGTGAGAGCACCGATCCGTCTCTCGCCGTAAGGGGAATTTCTAAAGCCTTTCACGCCGTGCCACACTGCTCCTCCTATTGCCTATGGGAAGAATGATGTCAATTTGATATATCTGGAAAGAGGAAGCAGGTCGGCGCAAGACGGGGGAGCTTGAAAGACATGCTGTTAAGCCGGCAGTATGGAAATTTTGCATACCCCCATGCAGAAAGCTCCCCCAAAATCATTCAGTGCCACCCAAGGGCATGGATCTCGTGTATGGTCCATCTTCTATGTGTTCGCTGAAATTTATCGCCTGCGTTCTCCTGCTTTGGACAGCCGTTTGAGTATCTTCGTGAGAACGACCCAGTTCGTAAGATACAGCAGAAAGGTTCGAAAACGTGGTGCGCAATTGGGAATGGATGTCGTTGGGTTGTCGCTGGCCGTTGACTCGATGATCCGTCTAAACGCTGGTAACTTCGAATGGAGCTGAACTTTCTGGACGCTAAGAATCTGCACTCTTTTGATCACGTGGAGATAAATCACGAGCGATAAGGTGGGCTGGTAGCCAAAGCAACTTGCCCATCAAAAATCAAGAATATGCTATGTTTCCGGTCGTCGAATTACTCCACAACAGACGTAACTCTGGATGGCAAAGCTAAGAAGGCCATCTCAGCCACTCAGCACATAGCAGATCTCGCATCTGAACTTCGTCTGAGGCCAGCCAAAAGTCCGGGTTCAAGCCGCTCGGGCGACGACGAGGGTTAAGCACCGCACTCCATCCCACTCCCTCACCCATGGGAAGAAGTCTGGCTCTCTTGTCGAACACTTCAAACTACATTCTTTCGTGGTGCTAGTCGCATTCTTTTATCTTACTTATTATTCAGTCTCTTCTTTGATTGTGTCGCTTAGTTATTGTTTTCCTACGCATGTTTTGCCCTGATTTAACAACAAGCTTTACTTCGAGAGACCTCTTCAATACAATTATGTCATAATTGAATCTCATTTACCTCTTCCAACTGGCTTCGACTGCTTTCATAGACGGCCACTCTGAGACCACGACGCATATGTGCAGCGAAGACAGATGCATGGCCATCTGAACGTTGGATCTTATGGAGAATCAGGACGTCTACACGCTTTCCTCGAGAGAACAACACGCTGCTACCGGCGATGTTCTGCTTGAGGGCCTACCGCGGGAAATGCCGGAAGATATATCGGAGGAAACGGGAACTCAGCCGCCTTGAGTTCTGTCTCTATCAAATCAGTATCCGAGCCGTTCGTTTGGGCCTTATCAAATTCGGTCAAGGTAAACAAAACCCGAAACAACGAGGTTGGCAAGGGGACGACCAAGAGCTTCGCGGATACTATAATCCCTCAAACGACGAAGGCAGCTGGAAATGTCGGGATTTTCTCGACTCCTAGCGTTGGACCACCCACGATTGCACTAGCGTCTTCCATGTCCAATCTATCCAGTGAAGGCCACGAAGAAGGGCAACAACGGAATTTTACTGTAAAATCTGGCGGCAATGGAGAAGCAGACTCTCGCTGCTACATTTTCCACAGAGTGGTCGTCGACACCTTCAGGGTTTGTCCCCCCCCACCTTGCTGGTCTGCCACCTGCATTATCAATGAGTGGGGAAGTCTTCGAGAATTTCACCGCAGCCTACTCAGCTGCTTGTGGAAACCATTTCACCCAGTGTGTCAGCTTCTCAGGTCTGTACTATAAAAGAACGATGGATAGGCGTTAAGTGCAGGATGGTATAATGTCATACTTGTACGTTTACTGTCATAAATGCTTTCCGGGACTTGAAGCTGTGAGTCTGTCACTGTGATGGCCTGAGGCTGTCAGGCCTGTTGGGAGCACGTGTACGCTAGGGGAGGTACATAGACTTCTCCTATTAAAGAGAACTTAGAAATATCATCCTCTCTACACAACACGGCCCCCCCCTCACTACTGAAGTGGTGACCTACGCAGCGATCGACCTGACAATCCTTTGATTCGCAGATAAGGAGCTTAAGCAATACACTAAGAATACAACTATCAAAAACAACTTTAGCTCCACCCCTTCCTCCTTCCGAAGAGTTCATCGACAAATCACCGCCTTACTACTACCTCAACTAAAACCACCTCAACTAAAACCACGGACTCATAAAAGAAATCACGGACCAACGAAAGCAATAACGACCTACAAGCTAGATAAATGCATAAAAAAGGAACAAAAGAACTCCGCTCCGGCTCACTTTCTTTAATAGACTCGGACAGGAAATACGAAGAGAAAATCCATCACCTTTAACTTTTATCATCAACATCATCATCGAACGAAAGGCAAGCGAGCTCACTTTTAATAGCTTCGATACTTTTTACTTTAAAATAATAAGCATAGCATAAGCTGATCATTAACCTTCTTTTACGAACATATCTATAATTAGCAAGATCAATAACTTTATTACCGCAACTATTAGATACTAAGACTTAATCATCACTTTTCAACCTTTAAGACCGACTAAGTGTTAAGTTCGTGCTTAAGATCGACACAAAGATTTACGACACAAATGCTCTTATAAAAACCGAGCAACAATAAGATACTTAAGCAACTAATCAACTGCAGAACCATTATCTCACCCCTTTTTTTACTATCACTATACCTAAACTTAAAGCAACAGAAAAGATATTAAACTTAAAGATGCCGAGGTTCGACCGTTATAAAGATTACGATAAGAAAATGCCGGCTAAGCTATAGCTAAACCGATTGAATTACGATTTCGAAGTCGATAGCTCCGATAACCCTTCTTTTTTAACGTATCTTAAAGCAATCTTAATCTTGCTAACAAAGAAAGCTAGCAAGAAGTTTAAATTTAATATAAGAATAAAATACATTATAACCAACCGCATTATAGCAATAAAGAAAGAGAAAGCTAAAGTAATAAAATAACTAAAGACGCAATTTCTTAATAATAAAGAACTAATAAAAGAGCAAGACGTGATCGCCGAAGTCTTTAACTTATAACAAAGATTATAAGAAAGTCTCGCATCTTATTATTTACGAACGGTCGCGCTATTAAAAAAGACTAAAAAAAGAGATCTAGAAAAGAACGAAGCACTATTAATAATAACGAATCAGTTTGATTCGGACAAGTATATACTTAAGTCTATTACGTCGGCTTTTATTAAAAGAGTTATAAACGATAAGCTTCGGACATTAGCTTTAACTAATAATACCTTGCTTTTGCTTTACTTATAAAAAGCATACGAAACTCTCGTTTTCTTTTAAAATGCATTTAAAACATAAAAGAAGATTAAGTCGGATATAAAAAAGATTAAGATATACGAAAGAATGCAAAAGTATATCGAGCATTATGCTAGAGTCTTAGCACAAGTAGCTTTAGCATCTTTTTAAGACACTTTATACGTCGCCGCTTTATCAAGCTTTAACTTAAGACTGCTCGCTCAACTTGTAAAGCCAATTTAACGTATTCTAAAACCAAGACAAAATAAGAACTTAATAATTTTATAACAGAATGCCCTTCTTTTTTAAGCATAAAGATAAAGTAGATATTAAAAAAACAATTAAAAACCGAACTATTAAAGCGGGTATATAAACTCCTAGACTTAAAGCAACTTAATTATTAATAGACAAATTAAATAGCAACTGCTTTTACGCTTACTACTTTTAAACGACCCGCCTTTTGCATTACTTCGACTAGCATTTAAATTTAGAAACTAGTTTATTAATAAGTCGAAGATCTATAATAAATCGAAAAATAGACTTTTATGCATAAGTTATAAATAGACCGGCTACTTAAAGATAGCTTGCTTTAATGCTTAACTTTAAAACTAAAAAAAAGCTTATTTTAAAAGAATCTGCTACTTAAAAAAGACGGTTATAACATATTATTTTAAGATTATTAGCGAAAAGCTATCTTTGTTTAGCTTAAGCTTTAATGCTTTTACTTTAAAAATAAACACACTAATAAGCATTATAAGCATATCCTTTCAATAGTACACGGATAGCTATAAAATAACTTCGATAAAAGAGATACTCGACGAAATCATCAAGACTAATACCGAGTGCAAGATAAGAAGCGTCGGAGATCTTAAATATAAAGTGGTTATTTTAAATAAAAAAGACGCTACGAATATTAATATAAAAATAACAAACAATAGATCGAAAAAGAGATAAAGAGTAGTAAGAGCATCAAATGACATAGATACTATCGAGGTCGTTAAATAGAACGCTAAAAAGCTAGCACCGAAGAAAGCTCTTACAAAAGACAAAGTAAAGATAAAAAGCAAGAAATTAAAATAATTAAAAGAGATCGTAAGCCGCGAAAAGAAAAGACCGATAGACTACGGCGATCTAGCAGCGAAATTCGAAATAACTATCAACTTTTTAAAGCTCTTTTAGCTATTATTAAAAGTATTTAAACAATTCCGGAAGTTGTTTATAAAAAAAAATATAAAAAAAAAAAATCGCAAACGATATTAACGGCTAAGAGCTAAGCAAACTTTAAATCGACACTATCTTAAATCTGCTCGTATATATACTCCGACGAGAAAGCTTAAAAAGTAGTATTATATATACGTATAAAAACAAAAAAGAAAACAATTAAAATAGAGTTGCTTATAAAAATGACTGCGGTAGATTAAGGTTTTAATATCGTATTAATATCTTTTAACTTTGCGAAAAAGCTAAATCTAAAGTCCAAATTACTAATATTAGCAAACTACGAAAGAGTTAGCTTTAGTATAGCAAACGGAAAAGTCTACGACTTAACAAAATTCGTTACGATCGAGATAAGAATAAAAAGAATATAAACATAAGTCGATGTCTTCGTTAAAAAAAACGCAAGAATAAAAGACATAGAATTAAGCTTGCTATTAAGTTTAACGTAAATGCATATAATAGACGTTAAGTTAAAGATTCGAGTTAAAAAGCTTATAATCGATAGCAACGTATTAAGAAAAAAGCAAGTGGTGATCTAATGCTCTTTCTTCGGACTATTAAAAAAGATCAACTTAATCTTATAGCTTAAAAAAGAATCTAAAAAGTCTTTCGATAACTTAATAATAAAGTTCGAACTATTAAAGTCAGATCTCTTTACGATAAACACGGAATATAAATCAGATTTAAATAACTTAAACGACTCGAAAAACTCGGAAAACTAAGTTACTTAAGCCGCTTTAGCGATAGCGTAAAATTTATCTAACGAAAAAGAGTTCACTTTCGAACTAAAAGAACTTTTACCAAGCAACCCCCTCCGCTTAAACAATGCAGCAACAGCCTTAT